GGGCCCAGCTGCTCCACGGCATGTGGGATCTTCCCAGACCGGGGCACGAACCCATGTCCCCTGCATCGGCAGGCGGACTCTCAACCAGTGCGCCACCAGGGAAGCCCGAAAAAGATAACTTTTTTAAAAAAATAAGTTGGAAGAGGTGTCACATGTTATACCATATAATAAATGACATGAATTGTTAGATGTTCTAGTGATGGAGAAATATTGCTTCAGATGGGGATAACACAGAAGGGGTTACTGAAAAGGTGATATTTAAAAGTATGTAGTGGAGTTTATAGTTCATATATGAGAATGTTTATTGCAGTTTTTTCATAATGCGAAATTTAAAATTATCTAAATAGTCACACAGTAGTGAAATACTTAGATTATGGTATATCTATTCTAATACATTATTTTTTGGTCATCTCAAACGTTTTTGGAAAATAACAGTGGAAATGGTTGTAACATGATGTTAAATTTAAAAATTATAAAACTATATGTATCCTAATCTTGGTTTCAAAATGTACATTTAAAAGAATCAGAAGTAAATACTACATTAAAAATATTAAGAGGGCTTCCCTGGTGGCGCAGTGGTTGAGAGTCCGCCTGCCGATGCAGGGGACACGGGGGCAGGGAAGATCCCACATGCCGCGGAGCGGCTGGGCCCGTGAGCCATGGCCGCTTCGCCTGCGCGTCTGGAGCCTGTGCTCTGCAACGGGACAGGCCACAACAGTGAGAGGCCTGCGTACCGCAAAAAAAAAAAAAAAAAATTAAGAGATTATTTCTGATGAGTAGAGTTTTTTTCTTTATATCTCTGTATTTCCTGTGTTTTTTTAAAAAAAAAAAACACACATTACTTTTTATAATTAAAATAGGTTATAGATAGTAGCTGGGGTTAAGACAAAAGCTGTAACATTTTATTGTAATAAAATCCAGACTGAGAAATACTGCTGTTCACATCATAGGTAGAATTCCTAGATGATTGAATTAGACTCCATGTGTTGTTATCTAGGGGTTTGCTTTTGTTCTTTGCTGGAAGTGACTGTGCTGCTTTAAGACCCCTCATGGGACTATGAGAAGAAGCACTGCTGGGTTCTCCTCTGTTTTGAACAGGTTGTTGGGGTTCCAGTTGGGTCTACCCTACCTTCGGCAGTGAAGCAGGCAGTGGCAATCAGTGGTGGCCAGATCCTCGTAGCCAAGGCCAGCTCGTCTGTCGCCAAAGCAGTTGGTCCAAAGCAAGTTGTGACCCAAGGAGTTGCCAAGGCAATTGTGAGTGGAGGTGGAGGAACCATTGTCGCTCAGCCGATGCAAGCCTTAACCAAGGCTCAGGTCACTGCTGCTGGCCCTCAGAAGACTGGATCCCAGGGTTCAGGTAACTGATGCTAATTGGGGGCCCTTTCAGCAGCAGCCCCTTCCAAAACGCTCTGTGCTAGTGATTTTATTTGCTATTTGGTTCTCTCTAGAAAAACCTAGGTTGTTGATGTTTTAAGGAGTATATAAAAACATGTTAATCTTTTTCATGTAACATTTTACATAGAGGCCTGTAAGGCTTTTGCTCTAAGTTGTGTGTGCGCATGTGTGGGTATGAGCAAGAATAGTAAAAATAGAGGGTGTTTCTTGATACTGCTCTCAAGTCTGAAGAATAATTCTCATTTGTCCTTATTTCCACGTTGCGTTCTATTTCAGACGTACAGTCTTGGTATGGTCATTTGCCAGCAGCATTTTGAGATACTTGACTAAGGCATTCTCTACTAAACAAAAGTTTAAATACTTTGAATGTGTTTTAGTCCTTAGTGTTTGTTTCTGTGAGTGCATGAAGAAATATATCTCAGGTATTTGATATTTACTAATTTTTAAAGTCTTGATGAGGCTAAAGAATGGTAGCAGTGAGTTGGGAGGGTAGTGGAGGTCCAAAATAAAGATTTCAGGGGTGAAGAATTGCTGCTGATGCCAAAGTTCTTTTGTGGCATTAAAAATGAGTGTTTGAGATGGGCCAGAAGAAGTGACCTTTGGAGTTTGGAAGATATAGCACTGAGAAGGCAGAGAATTAAATAAGTCATCTATAGTGTTGTCACTGAGAATGAGCCTTTAGCGCAGAGCACAATACTTTGAGTCTGGATTCCGCCTTCAGCTAATGAGGGGAAGTGACTTGGGAGTTCAGTAAATTAGAGCAGAAAAGAGAGGGAGATGGAATAGCTAAGTAGGAGCCTCAAAAGAGGCAGGGCTTTTTTTTCTCCCCCTCTGGCATGAGCCGTGATAATGGTCTGAAAGTCTAACTGGAAAGCAAAAATGTTCCTTTCCTGGTCCTAGCCCTCTGATATTGAGGTAAGACAGAAAACAGCCCGTAGCTAGCGGATTTCTGGGGAAGTCTTATCTTCAGAGGACTGATGAGTTTAATTACCACAAAAAGAGATAATGTTCAAGGAGGTTGATGTTCTAGAGGGTGTAGTGATCACAGCAGGAATTCCTGGAGTGGGGTGCCTGGTGAAAGAGTCAGGGAAGGAAGAAAGCATGAGGAGATGGTTCAGATCAGGGACCGTGAGCCGTGTGGAGATGGGACTCCGGGTGCGGGTGGCAGAGAGGTCTGCAGTTCTGGCGTGGCTGCGATGCACAGTGGTGTAAGATGAGATTAGTTCTGGTCATAATGAAGAGGGATGGCCCTCAGTTTAATATCAGTCCCTGATATTGGGTGCAGCTTCCAGGGTTCCTGCCTCCCAAAGCTTTGCACAGTGAAGTGGTCCTGAGAGGGACTACTCTAGCAGGTGGCAGGAGGCTGAGAGTCCTTTCCCTGTGGGACTCACATGGTCCTGTAGGCTTCAGTTCCTGGAGATTCAAATACAAAGTAACTGCAGAAAGTTTTCATGTTTAGAGGTATCACAGCGATGTGCATCGAGAAGTAAATTCTAAGGGGTTAGTGAAAGCTGTTTGACATAGGTGAGACTTTTAAAAGATGAATTATAGTTTCATAGTATATGTGCCAGTTGTTGACTGTAGCATTTTTTAGTTCTTAGAAAGTGAGGGAGACTAGAAGTCTTGTTTCAAATCAGTAGATTCATCGTTACTAGAAATTGACTATAAAGGGGCTTTAAACAAATGAGAAGCAAATGTGTATTCATCCATAGAGAGGGTGATTATTTTATTGACTGTCTAAACAACAGTACTTTTGAGAGTTAAGAGTCACTATTAATTATAGTGGGACGTAGGTATAAATTGTAACGGCTTTGGGCAAACCATGACATATGGTCACTCTATATACAGATATAAATTTCTTTGTAGTTTGTAGAAAGCTCTTCTAGTATGTAAATATTTTAATTAGCAACATAATGAAAAATGTCAGCCTTTAAAGCACTGTGCATCTAGGAAGCAAACTGTAGAGTTTATTGTTTGTTAGTGTTTTTGAATAAGTATTTTATTACTCTGTGTATGTTTTAATTTTAGAGATAGCATTGCCCTCAGTTCCAATTTATCTTAATGTTTTTCCTCTTTCTTTTTTTCCCTCTATTCCCTTCACCATTTTAGTAATGGCGACATTGCAGCTGCCAGCCACTAATTTGGCCAACTTGGCAAATTTGCCTCCTGGCACTAAGCTCTACCTTACAACGAACAGCAAGAACCCTTCAGGAAAAGGAAAACTGCTGCTGATCCCTCAAGGAGCCATCCTGCGGGCTACCAACAATTCTAGTTAGTCCATCATTAAATCATTTGGTTCTTGGGTCTCTGGGTACGTTCATCTCATCCACCTGAGGGGCAGTTCTTACCTGTTTCAGGAAGCATTTTCATAGGTCTGTTTGCTCAAATGGATTTAAAACATGCACACATTTTAACTAGAAGTGAGTTTAAATAATCATAGTCTTAGGAGGTGACACTGTTGTCTTGGATTTATCTGCTCAGAGTCTGGGTTTGGGAACAAATTACAGTGAAGAGGTATGGCTACTGAGCCTGTGTTGGGAGAAAGCTGTATATGTGAGCTGGAAATAAAGAAGACTTCTTCCTGTCAGTGGTATCTGAAAACTGGTGACACCTGAGAAGATTGCTGGACGCCTGTTTTTATTTTGAAGGGGATGGGAATAGGATTGGAATCAAGTGTCTCTGCTTGCCATTATTTAGATGTGCGACTTAAGTTTGCTAGGTTTGGAGATGGCAAGAGAAATACAGGCTCAGCCTTAGTGTGTAAGATGTAAAGCCCCAAGGAAATTAGGTGGTTTATCTAGGCTTATATAAACTTTTGCTTTGACATATAGAGAAAAACAATTTGGGTAGTGTTGAAAAGGAAAGGGTAAGAGGAATTATTTCCATCTGAGTCAGAAGTATAGTTGGTACAGCAGTTAGGTTCATTTGAAATTAGTCACTTGCCAAAGTGCAGTGTTGTAATTGTGATCAAGCAAGAGCTCGTGTGCCCGTGGTACAGAAAACCATTTCTGACAGTGGGAGTTTGCAGCAAAGTTAGTGTTAATTGCAGGGCACCAAGCAAGGGAGTGGGAAACAAGTCTCAGATCCACTCCAACTTGGTCTTTGAGTTCAGGGTATTTAAAGGGGAGGAACAAAGAAGCTGGGGTTAATCATCATCTTGTGATGTTTCTTAATCGTAGTTTTGGGTGTCAGGATGTCTCTGGTTTACATTTCTCTGGCCAGGTGGTCCATGGCTTGGGGGTCTATTAGCTCATCTTGCCCTAGGGAAACAATCTGAGTTTTTACCTTAGCGATGTTATCTACAACAGCACTTTTAGTACATTAATGATGTTGTTAACAACGGCAGGTTTAGTCATCTGACTCTGGTTGATTAATGTTCAGTTAGCACCGAATTGAGGTCAGAGGGGACAAGAAAGGGAATAAAGTTTTGGATAGAGAGATTAATCATAAACTCAGCAGGGGAATTTGGTTTTAGGGGGACTCAGTTTCAAAAGCTAGTCAGCCATTTTGTTTACTGACTGTAATGGGCGATTTCCACTCTTACCCTGGTGTTTTTTCCTCATACCTAAGTAGTGGTGTATCAAAAATTTAGATATGTAAGAGAAAGACAATGTAAGTCTTCCAAAATTCATCCAGAGAGCTACTTAGAGTGTAGTTTACATATGTAATGTCACCAAAAGGGAAGTAAAAAGGGTACAAAGGCTTTAAAGTGGAATTTGAAAAGCAAAAAAGACCTGGCGTCGTTATAAATATGAAGAAAGTCTTGGTTTTTTCCAGAGCAGGGGGGAGGATGGAAAAGAGAGAGTATTGCAAAATTACACTAAATTCCAGCAGGTTCACTGAAATTGAATCAGATGCCAGAAAGTTTGGGAGCACTTCTCTGAGCACATTTAAGTGTTGGTTAAAAACACTTGGTTAGAAAATGTATCTGACTCTCGATCTCTCACAACTAAGCTAAAACACTTGCAAAGATAAGTTCTTCATTGTAGTACAGTACTCAGAGCTGAACTAGTCGACCATCATTTAGTCAAACGTAAATATATTTCAGTCTTCAGCGTTAGAAAGTTCTCACTCTTGTCACAAACTTGTATATTACCAAAAAAAAGGAGGAAAGGAGGAAAGGGAAGGAGTGGAGCCCTAAGGGAAACATCTCTCTGGGCTCATCTGTTTTTTTCTCTTAAGCCTTCTCTTAATACTTTGTCATTGGTTGTGTTTTCAGACCTCCAGTCTGGCTCAGCTGCCAGTAGCGGTGGTGGTGGCAGTGGCAGTGGCAGTGGAGGAGGAACTGGAGGAGCCCAGAGCCCTGCCGGCCCTGGAGGGATATCCCAGCACCTGACGTACACATCTTACATCCTCAAGCAAACCCCTCAGGTCTGCTCATTTGTGACTGGTATCTTTTAAATCAGTTATTTAATGACTGCCTTTAATTATAGTGGATTTACCTTTACGGCTCTGGAATCAGGCGTCAATACTAACATTTTAGTCATGTTATAAATCTGTATTATTTTGGGTTTGCTTTGTTTTGAGAGAAAAGCGAGTGGAGATTCAGAAGGACCTACGTAACTTATCCAAGATCTCTCCGCTAAGCCTAGTGGTAGGGTTTGGATTTAAACCCAGATCTTTCTGAAAGATTTTTGCTATGCTGTTGCCTCTCGTGGATTTGGAATAGTATTAATGTGCAGTTGAAAATTTTCTCCTAGACGTAACCAGAGAGATAGTATCAAGTTATGGTTTGGAGTTCCATTGGATTCAAGATTAGGAACAGGCTTCTGCCTCCTTTCTTTCCCCTTGTCGCTGGTCTTGGCTCCTCTCTAAGGAAGGGAATGGAGTTTTGGTTCTAGATGTTCTTAGAGTAGATAGTTATCAGTCTGAAGGATTAAATCCAGCTATGAGGGGACTAGATTGTAAAACTTGAGCTTCCAACAGCCTGCTCTGTAACTCCAGTGCAAAGTTTGAGAAGTGGGGATAACTGTTAGTAGTGACACTGAGAGCAGAGCTATTCTTTTTAATCATTTTGATGAGTTGTAGAATTGAAGGGTAGCACTGTCGCTTATAATATGGGACCTTGTGATTTAAAGAATCAGAGCAAGTCATTTGAACTTAACAAATTACTGATCAGGTCTTTATTTGTTTGTAATTTAGGGCACGTTTTTAGTTGGCCAGCCATCACCCCAGACATCTGGAAAACAGCTGACTACGGGGTCAGTGGTGCAAGGAACACTGGGAGTCAGCACATCCTCTGCACAAGGACAGCAAACGTTAAAAGTCATCTCTGGACAAAAAACCACTTTGTTTACCCAGGTAAATACACGCGCACACACACACACACACACACACACACACACACACACAAATATTTACAGCTTGTCTCTTTCCACAAAGAAATTATTGTTACCTAAGAAAATAAGCAATAAAATAGTATAGAAAAATAAGAATAAAATCATAAGATTTGGGAAAATATAAGTAGAATGAGAAGATAAGACCAGAGAGTTGTTTAGATATGCAAACAGTAATGTCCTGTATATTTAATAAAATTTGCCAAAGCAAAATGAGAACAATGATAAGTTATAAAATTCACACTATTTGTGAGAGGAAAAAAAATAACCACACAATATTTTCTTAGAAGAAACAAAGATTTTCTAGACACTTCATTCTAAAATTTCTCTGGAGGGACTTCATATAGGAGATTCTGAATAGTGTTATAGGTGATTTCAGCCACGATATCCATATCGTAAGTAAATGCTATAGGGAGTTTGGTGTATGTTTCTACAGCGTCTTTAGCATAGGTGGAAGAATAATGACAGGGAATTTTAACTGGGCGAGGGATATCATAATCATCTGTAGCTAAATCTCAAAAACTTACCAAATGAAACAAAGTGTAGAAGGATATAGACAGTGTGGATATCAACAAATAATGCACTTTTTATGACTGAATGTAGATCAGCAGTTCTCAAAGCATGAAATGATATTGGATTTTTGTCAAATGCTTTTACTGTGTCTATTGAGAGGATCCTATGGTTTTTCTTTTTTAGTTTGTTAATAAGGTGAATTACATTGATTGTTCAAATGTTAAACCAACCCTGCGTTCCTAGAATAAACCCTACGTGGTTGTGACATGTTATCCTCTTTTAATGTATTGTTGAATTGAATTTGAATTTTTGCAAGGGATATTGGTCAGTAGTTTTCATTGTAATTTCTGTCTGGTTTGGTTTTTTTTGTGTGTGTGTGTGGTACGCGAGCTTCTCACTGTGTGGCCTCTCCCATTGCGGAGCGCAGGCTCAGCGGCCATGGCTCATGGGCCCAGCCGCTCCGCGGCATGTGGGATCTTCCCAGACTGGGACACGAACCCGTTTCCCCTGCATCGGCAGGCTGACTCTCAACCACTGCACCACCAGGGAAGCCCTCTGTCTGGTTTTGGTATCAGAGTAATGCTGGCCTCATAAAATGAGTTGGAAACTTCTCCCTCCTCTTCACTTTTTGGGGAAGAGTTTATGTCAACTTGGTATTATTTCTTCCTTAACCGTTCAGAATACACCAGTGAAGCCGTAATGGCTTGCAGTTTTCCTAATTGGGAAGGTTTTTAACTACAATTCCAATTTATTTAATAGATATATTGATAAGACTGACTATTCACATTATTTTGTCTTAAGGAGGTTTGGTAGTTTATATCTTTAAAGGAATTTTTTTTTATTATATCTAAGTAGTTGAATTTCTTGGAACAAACTTGTTCATAATTTTCCCTTATCCTTTAATGTCTGTAGAATCTTTGGTAATGTCCCCTTTTTCATTCTTGACTTTGATAGTTATGTATCTTCTCTTTTTTTCTTGATCAGTCTAGCTAGAAGGTTTATCAGTTTTGTTGATCTTTTCAAATTACCAGCATTTGGTTTCCTTGAGTACTAACTTCCCTTTGGTCAGATGCTCTTTGCTGTTTTAAACAGGTATGAGGCCCCAGAATTCTTTAAAATCTTAGCTAATTTCTTCTAATCCGCTCATGTTGCAGCCAGTGCAGTGACTTTCTTTCTGTTCTGCCACAGCTAAGATGTTTGCTGTTGCCTTTTATTAAGGTATAATTTACATAGAATAATGCACAGATCACAAATATACTGCTCAGGGAATTTGGACAAATGGGTATGCTCTTGCAAGCACTATCCCAGTCATGATATAGAGCATTTCCATTACTCTAAAACATACCCTCATTTCTCTTTCCAGTTTTTTTCTATCACCATTTTTCTGTCACCATAGATTAGATGTTTTAAAAAACTATTTATTTTATTTATTTTTGGCTGAGTTGGGCCTTCGTGGCTGCACGCGGGCTTTCTCTAGTTGTGGTGAGCAGGGGCTACTCTTCGTTGTGGTGCGCAGGCTTCTTATTGCGGTGGCTTCTCTTGTTGTGGAGCACGGGCTCTAGGTGCGCGAGCTTCAGTAGTTGCGGCACACAGCCTCAGTAGTTGTGGCGCACGGGCTTAGTTGCTCCGCAGTATGTGGGATCTTTCCAGACCAGGGATCGAACCCGTGTCCCCTGCATTGGCAGGCGGATTCTCAACCACTGTGCCACCATGGAAGCCCCATAGATTAGCTTTTGCCTGTTCTTGAACTTCATATCAACAAAATTATATAGTATATAGTCTTTTATGTTAGCTTTTATTGTTGAACAGAATGTTTCTGAGATTTACCCATGTGTGTATTGATTATTCTTGATTTTTGTTATTTTTCTTTATTTTTGGCTGTGTTGGGTCTTTGTTGCTGTGCGCGGGCTTTCTCTAGTTGCAGCAGGCGGGGGCTATTCTTTTTTGCGGTGCACGGGCTTCTCATTGCAGTGGCTTCTCGTCGTAGAGCACAGGCTCTAGGTGTGCGGGTTTCAGTAGTTGTGGCATGTAAGCTTGGTAGTTGTGGCGCACGGGCTTAGTTGCTCCGCGGCATGTGGGATCTTCCCGGACCAGGGCTCAAACCCGTGTCCCCTGCATTAGCAGGCAGATTCTTAACCACTGTTCCACTGGGGAAGTCCCCTTCATATAGTTTTAATTAGCAAGACTTTCTTGGGGATGCAGTATTTGGGGGGGTGTATGTAGGTAAGGATTAAATTGTGCCTATTAACCAGGGTAACTTATTACTCCAATCCATTTTATTTCTGTAGGCGGCCCCGGGGGCACAGGCATCTCTAATGAAAATATCTGATAGCACATTGAAGTCTGTGCCAGCCACCTCACAACTCTCAAAGCCTGGAACCACGATGCTGAGGGTAGCAGGAGGAGTTATTACAACTGCCAGTTCCCCAGCTGTAGCCCTCTCAGCAAATGGTCCTGCGCAACAGGTGAGAAGTAGCATGATAGTGGAAAACCATAATGAAGCATAAAAGCAGTAAAAATGTAAGATATTCATCAGGCACACTATTGGGCCATATTACTGTTTTAAAAATTCAAATATAATTCACATACCATAAAACTCACCATTTTATTTTAATTTATTTATTTAAGTTATTTATTTTTGGCTGCATTGTGTCTTCGTTGCTGCTCTTGGGCTTTCTCTAGTTGCGGCGAGCGGGGGCTACTCTTCATTGCGGTGCACGGGCTTCTCATTGCAGTGGCTTCTGTTGTTGCAGAGCACGGGCTCTAGGCAACTGGGCTTCAGTAATTGCAGCATGCGGGCCAGTAGTTGTGGCTCCATGGGCTCTAGAACACAGGCTCAGTAGTTGTGGTGCACGGGCTTAGATGCTCCATGGCATGTGGGATCTTCCCGAACCAGGGCTTGAACCCGTGTCCCCTGCATTGGCAGGCGGACTCTCAACCACTGCGCCACCAGGGAAGCCCGCTAATAGCTAATATTTATTGGGTATGCTACATGGCAGTCACTGTTCTAAGTTATAGTACTTTCTTCTTAATATCTATTATTTCTGGTCCTGTGGGTTAGCAGTCGGAAGGAACAGCTCCCAGTTCATCATCTGCTATGACTTCTGTAATGAAAACTTCTGGGCAGCAACAAGTGTGTGTGAGCCCAGCCACCATGGGACCCTGCAAGGCTGCTACCTCCTCTGTCATCAGTGCTACGTCCCTGGTGTCCACACCAAACCCCATCTCTGGAAAGGCCACAGTATCAGGTCAGTTGTACCATAATATTATTTCTCGCTCCCTTCTTTGGGCTAGAGTATTTGTGGAAGGTCTTACATAATAACAGTTTTTAATAATAAATTGTTAAAAATCATTAATTCGGCAGCATTTTCCATATAGCTGCCTTTTAGATGAATTACTCTTATTTAAAATCCAGGTGTAAATTTTCAAGTCTGAAATGTTTTTATGGATTGAATAACAATTCTTAACTGATATAATAAAACATTAGCCATCTGGAACTCTTCTGGGTATTTATCAGCAGTTTTGCATGGAACTCATGGTAAAACATACATCTCTTTTTGCTTTCATAAACAAAGTATATAAAATTAAATTAGCATTGTTGACTCCAAGACATGATTTTTTTTTTAATAAATTAATTTTATTTTTGGCTGTGTTGGGTCTTGGTTGCTGTGCACGGGCTTTCTCTAGTTGCGGCGAGTGGGGGCTACTCTTCGTTGTGGTGTGCAGGCTTCTCATTGCGGTGGCTTCTCTTGTTGCGGAGCACGAGCTCTAGATGCGAGTGCTTCAGTAGTTGTGGCACGCAGGCTCAGTAGTTGTGGTGCACGGGCTTAGTTGCTCCGTGGCATGTGGGATCTTCCTGGACCAGGGCTCGAACCCGTGTCCCCTGCATTGGCAGGCGGATTCTCAACCACTGTGCCACCAGGGAAGCCCCAAGATACTATTTTTAACAGTAGTTATTATATTGGGTAGTGTTAGAATGACATGCTTGAGCTTTGGTAAGATGTATCGTTTCTCTGTGCCCACCCTGAATGGCCCCGGAAGAGTGTGCCTTTTACTTCTTTGGGTAACATAGAGCACAAATCCTAGAGCCAGATTGCCTAATACCTACCTCATAAAGTTGAGACGATTAAATGAGTTAATATAAAAATGCTTAGGATACCGTCTGACATGTAGTTGCCATTATATAAATAATTGCTGCTGTTATCATTTTTAGTGTCATCATTGTTATTAGTCCACATTCCCTTATCTGCAATTCTGAAATCCAAAAAGCTGTGAAAACCAAAGGTTTGTTTATTGTTGTTTTTCCCCATAATGAATTTTAGGGCAAAATCTGACCTCCATTGACAGGCTGTTTATACTACTTAATATGAATATTCATCTTTTGCCACAAATATTAATGTGTTTGACTACATTGTACTGTCCCAGATGCCAGGGGCTGATATAATATACAGCATTACTTCTCAAACTTGAAAGGTCAACTTTGTTTTACTATAATCTAGTACAGACAGATACTTCTGTAAAATACAATAAAAATATCACAACAAAGTCAAACTGTTACAAAACTTTTGAACACTCAGTATCTGTATTGCGTTGTTGCAGATTAATAATAGTTTACCAACTGGCACTGGTATACAGAAAAACAACTGAGTATTGCTAATATATATATGATATATATTCATACACACATGTATATACACACACAAACATAAATACATACACACACATACCTTACTATCTCTGCATAAAGATTGTGGGTATTCTTCACTGTTACTGCATGTAGTTTGCTAAAATAAAAGCATAGGCTTGTGAGCTTTTTGGTCTATAAATAAATCATCTTAACGACTCTTGGGTATTAAAAAAAAAGATTGTGGATATTCTTGTTGTTCTTCTTATTATCACTAGATTCCATACATGAGTCTAAATCAAGCCCCTATGTTTTGTTTGCTTTTTGGGTAGAGACCAAAAGATTAAGGCTGGTTTATTTTTCCCATGATTTCTACCTCCCAGTTAAAATCGACCAAGTTTTTATGTGGGGAGTGCTTGTTCTCTGCTAACTGAATGTTTAGAGGTACTGGGTTAGCACTGGAGTAGAAATTGTAGAAATAGAAGGAATTACTAGTTTAAGAAATGAATGCCCTCCTTTTTTTCTGATTTTTAAATGAAGTCTCTTGCTTTAAGTTCTAGTTTCCTGAGATACTGCTGATGAAACTTTATATTATTTTCATAAGAGAATCAAACTGTTTTCTACTGACCATTTTGTGTGTGTGTGTGTGTGTGTGTGTGTATCCTTTTTTTTTTTTAATTGAGGTATAACCTTTAATTTTTCAATTAAATTTTTTGTGTGCATTACAAACTGTTTTGAACAAGATTGCCATTGTGACTAGAGCAGAGTAAGCAAGGGAAAGAGAACCAGGAGATAAAGTCAGAGTGGTGGGGGCCAAATCACATAGGGCCTTTGTAGGTCACTGTAAGAACATTGATTTTTACTTCAAGAGAACCCATTGCGGGGTCTTCAGCTCAGGAGTAACACGAGCTGCCTTTTCCTTTTAACAGGTCACTGGCTACAGCATTTAGACTAAACTATGGGGCACAAGGTGGAAACAGGGAATAGACCAAGAAGTAGACACTAAGAAAGAAACTTTGATGATGTATTAGGGAGCCCTGGCAACATGAAACTAAACGGAATTCCAGAAAGAAAACAGAAAATAATGGGAAAGAAATGATCTAAGAAATGAAACAGTTTATCCCCAAATTGAAGGGCATGAACTTCCAGGTTCAAGAGGCACAGTGTCCAGCACAATGAGTGAAAGGTGGCTCACAAGAAGGGACAGTTTGTTCATGAAATCAGAACACCAGTGACAAGGAGAAGATCTGAAAAGCTGTCAGAAAAATAAACAGAAAAGTTCAGAAATTACATTATCATTGGGCTTCTCAGTAGCAGTGCTGGAAGCTAGAATATTGCTTTTCAAAGTTCTAGGGGGGAATTCTTGTAGTCTAGAATTCTGTAATTGGCCAGATCTTTACTGAGTATGAGGGTAGAAATATTTTCTGACAGACAACGTTTCAAATGTATTTTCTATGACCTTGTCTCAAAACATAACTAAAATACATGTTTCACCAGAGTGAAGAGGTGTAGACCAAGAAAGAGGACAAAAATAGAGAGGAAGGCAAAGGGAATTCCCAGGGTAACTGTGAAAGGGCGCTCCCCGAATGAAGGCTTTGCAGCAGGCCTAGAAAGCAACAGTCCAAATTAGAGCATATCAGAGAGTCCCAGGAAGGATAGCTCTTATTTTAAAAATGGAACTGTAAATTATTTAGGAGGTTTGACCATGTGGAGAGCTGTATAAAGGGTGATTTATAGCATTTTTGAAGGACATGGGAAGACTTTAGTAAGATGTTGAAGGAGAACTAAATAAGCAAATGAAAAAGAAGGAAATTATTAACTCCAGAAAATGAGATCGAGTCATAGCATCATGATATTCTTTGGATCGATAGAGACCAATATTGGAGGAGAGGGAAGAGCGGGTAAAAATGCCTTACAGTGCTTATCTACCTTAATAGTAAGTCAGTGTGTAACATCAAAATGAATCAAGGCCTACAATATACACATTCTTTTAAAAAATGCTGAGATAAATATTAAAACACCAAAAGGTTAAAAGTGTATACTACTGGGGAACCAGATGAAGACAGGGAGTTGGAGCAAAGGATGGCTATTTTTAGTTATATGCCTTTTAGCACTTTTTAACTTTTCAACTGATGAGCATGTAATGTTTTGATAGAAATAAGAATTTTAAAAATACGAAGAAACCAGGTCATTGTTGTACTCTTGGAGGGCACATCTCAGTTAAGTAATTACTACTTGACTGATCTAACACTCATCTATTCCAAAGAACGGTTTTCTTGTTTATTTAAGGCTTTGTTCTTGAAAGTATTTAAGACTATTCCTGTTCTCTCTTTTTTTTTTTTTTGCGGTATGCGGGCCTCTCTCTGCTGTGGCCTCTCCCGTTGCAGAGCACAGGCTCTGGATGCGCAGGCTCAGCGGCCATGGCTCACGGGCCCAGCCGCTCCGCGGCATATGGGATCTTCCCTGCCCCCGTGTCCCCTGCATCGGCAGGCGGACTCTCAACCACTGCGCCACCAGGGAAGCCCAAGACTATTCCTTTTCTTAACTCAAGCTAACTGCATTCCAGTGCCTTAAAGTATCTTTAGCCTCTGTCGCTGTTTTTTAAAAAAAATATTTAATTAATTAATTAATTTATTTATTTGGCTGCATCAGGTCTTAGTTGCAGCAGGCAGGCTCCTTGGTTGCATAATGCGAAATCCTAGCTGCAGCATACATGTGGGATCTAGCGCCCCAACCAGGGATCGAACCCGGACCCCCTGCATTGGGAGCTTGGAATCTCAACCACTGCGCCACCAGGGAAGTCCTGTCTGTCGCTGTTTTTAAGTAGTTGTTATAATATGTGTTTGTGTTGTATCTTGTGTACTCCTTTTTGTCACTTTTTTTACTGGCCCTCTGAATGTCTAGAATAGTTTTATAATGGAAATGGGAGTATGGAAATTCTTTTAAAGCAAAGTGGGAGAGGATGACCCCTTCTAAAATAAGTGGAGAATATCTGGTTTGAAAAATAAAGGCTGCACAGAGATAGGAAATTATAAGATATGGTGAATAGACAGACTGAAGTATTAGATATGTAAAGGTTGTTGTAAAGAAGATGCAGATAAATTAGGACCAGATTAAAATGGACTCTGGGGGCTTCCCTGGTGGCGCAGTGGTTGAGAGTCCACCTGCCGATGCAGGGGACACGGGTTCATGCCCCGGTCCGGGAAGATCCCACATGCTGCGGAACAGCTGGGTCCGTGAGCCATGGCCGCTGAGCCTGCGCGTCTGGAGCCTATGCTCCGCAACGGGAGAGGCCACAACAGTGAGAGGCCCACGTACCACAAAAAAAAAAAAAAAAAGGACTCTGAATGCTTTGACTAATTTTGGAAACATTCTCTAGGCAGTCCAGAGCCAGAGAAGGTTTTTAAGTAGGAAAATGACAGTTACCCAAATCAAAATACAAAATTTTACATCCAGTTTGTACGTATCACAGCTATATACAAAACAAATAAATTGTCATATAAAACAAACATGGAAAAGAACTATCTCAAAATGATGATACTGGTTGTCTCTGCAGTAGGACTCTGGGTGACTTTTCTCTTTTCTATTATTCCCACTTTTCCAAAAGTTTTTGTATTACTTTATGATAGCAGGGTAAAAATAAATCATTATTGTTGCCTCATTGCTTCATTGAGAAATCAGCTGCATCCATTGGCTTATGCTTCCAGCTCTTTCTTTATTGAAAGGGTAAATGTCCTAAGAATGTCCTCCTGTGAGAAAATATGAATGCTGAAGAGGGCATGAACTTCAAGGAAGCATCTGATCTTCAGCTTGGCTTTATCTTCCAACTTATTTTAGGATTGTTAAAGATTCATTCCAGTCAGTCCAATCCCCAGCAGGCTGTTCTGACAATCCCCAGCCAGCTCAAACCACTCAGTGTAAACACATCTGGAGGTGTGCAGACTATACTGATGCCTGTGAATAAAGGTGAGTTCTTCACCTGTGGGTGTGGTTGTCTCTGGGTCTGTCTGGTGGGAGAGTCTGTATTCCGTCACGTGGTGGCCGCTCCTCCCTTTTTTAGCCTGCCCTTGAGCTGTCACCATACTCCCTGGCACCACCTCTAGGACTGAAAGTAAAACCCAAATGATCCACTGACTTCTAAATAACTGCCCATTTCTTAAGTTGAGTAGGGGGGTTACATTTTAAGCATTTATGAGTGCAGGTTAATTGGATTTTTATTTTCTGAGTTTAGTGACAAGCTCCCATTTCCACAGTTGAAGATACCAGCTCATTTACCCTGGTACTAATAGGAAACAGCCACCTTGTCAATCACTGTATTAAAAAAGGACCATATCTGTTGTACTGAAATTGTTTTTGTGCTAGTAGCCTAAGGAGGGGCTACCACCTGGGAGTTAGATCATTTTCATTAAAATAATTTCTATATTTCTTATATCCTCCCCTCCTTTTTTGCCTGTTAGTGGTTCAGTCATTTCCTACCAACAAATCACCTGCCATTCTGCCTGTAGCTGCCCCAACTCCAGTTGTCCCCAGCTCTGCTCCAGCAACTGTTACAAAAGGTATGTAGTTTCCCACAGTATATTTGCCCAGAAGTTTTGTGCAAGACATTACTGTAATATGACTCCCTTGAATTTCAGCATCCATGAATCGGTCACTTCAAAAATATGTAGAGTGTTTATATATAGACTTGACATTAAGGGAAATACAGAGATGTATAAAGCATCATTTCTGCCCTCCAAGAACTTATAATCAGGTTGAAGAGAGTTGCAGTAGACAGCAAGCAGTGATTGATACATGCAGGGTAAGTGATCTGGAAAATGAATGCTGAAGTATTTCAATCTAGGATGTCTGGTCAGGGAAGCTGGGGGTGTTTAGGTGGGTAGCACTTTTGTGTAGCACTTTGTATGGGACATGGATTATAACCTGGACTTTAGAGTGAAGCATTTTTAGCTGTGGAGGGGTCAAGGGGCATGCCAGATTAAGGGAACAGTAGAGACAAAGACTCAGAGGGTTTGTTTGGGGGAGTAGACCAATTAAAGGGACTCATCTGGGGTATGTAGTTGCGGTAAAGGAGCTGTAGGTAGGGCCAGACCTTGGCAGCTGGCAGTGGGGACATTTCTGACTGTTGAGTAGATGGAGATAGTGCAGTGGGTTAACACATTTTGACATTTGTAACATCTACAATATGATAGCTACCATGTGTAAGAGCCTAAAGTGTACTAGGCACTGTGCTAGCTGCTTTATATATATATCATTAATTATCACAGTACTTTAGGACAGCTATTACGCCCATTTTGCAAATGAGGAAACTGAAGTTTGGAGATACTAAGTCCATACTTCCCAAGTCTAGAAAACTAGAAAGCAGTACAGTCAGAATTTGAAATACTTTCCAGGCATGCCAGGATGTCTCATAATAGTCTTATGAAGAGATGGATTTGGAACTTAGAGCATGACCATCCAAAGCAAGGGTTGGCTGACTGCAGTCTGCTGCTCGTTTTTTAATGAGCACATGGCCATGCCCATTCATTTACATATTGTCCATAGGTGCACTGCAACCTCAAGAGTTGAGTAGTTCTAGCTGAGATCATATGACCCACAAAACCTAAAATATTTACTGATTAGTTCCTTATAGGAAAAGTTAGCTAGTCCTGATGGAAGAATTGATACTAATCTAGACCAGCGTTTCTTCTCAGCAGTAGGTATATATCATAGGCCTTCCTCATACAGATTCTGATTCAATTAATTTTGGACTGGGGCCAGAGCATCTCTGTTTTGATTTTAATTGAGGAAAATTTTGTGTAAAGTGCAAAGATACTAAGCATACCATTTGATGAGTTTTGACAAATGCATAAACCCAAGTAACCAATATTGCATTCAAGCTATAGAAATTTCCATCACCTTGTGCCCCCTTCCAGTCAATTCCCATCCCGTATAGGCAACCACTGTTCTGATTTCTATTATGATAGATTACTTGTGTCTATTTTTAAACTTTATGTGAATGGAAGAACATACGTTCTTTTGTGTCCAATTTCATTCACTCACTGCAGTGTTTTTGAGATTCAACCATGTTGTTGGTGAGTAGTATTCCACATTGTAGGGATGGATGGATATACCATAATTTGTTTATCCTTTCTCCTGTTAGTGGAGATTAGGGTTATTTTCAGTTTGGGGCTATTATATGTAAGTCTCAGCATATGTTTTCATTTCTCCAGTAGAATAGCTATCCCAGCCTGAATATGCTGATTATATAATTTTGTAATTGTTTGCGTGCCAGATTAAAGTGAGTATACTTGCGGGAATTCCCTGGAGGTCCAGTGGTTAGGGCTAGGCGCTTTCACTGCCATGGCCTGGGTTTAATCCCTGGTTGGGAAACTAGGAACCTGCAAGCCATGCAGTGTGGCCAAACAATAAGTAAATACAGTGACTATACTTGCACCTATAGAACTGGAGTATCTGAACTTTTTCTGAGGCCTTCCTTTTGTTTTTTGAAGTCTTGGAATCACTAGGGGTTGGGGGAAGATGTATTGCTAACAGTGAAATTAGCGAGGTCACTCAATACAAGTCTGTATACATACAAAAGCCATTTTGATTTCTATATAGAAATTAACTGCTAACAACCCACTAAACATTTCTGAAATTTAGAAGATCTAAATAAATGGAAGGATATACCATTATAAATATAATAAATTATAAATATATTATTTAATTATATTACTGAAAGACCTGATATGTTATTAATCCTCCCCCCAAATGACACAGATTCAATACAGTCCCAGTCAGAATCCCTACATTGTTGTTTTTGTGCTTGTGCAGAAATTGACAAGCTAAATCTAAAATGTATATGGGAATGCAAGGCCTAGAGTAGCTAAGACAGTCTTGAAGAACAAAAAGCCAGGGGACTTGGGCCACCAGATATATATATACTGTAAAGCTACAGTAATTGAGATAGTGTAGTATTGGTTCAAGAATAGACAGAATATAGGGGTGGGGTAGTGGGAGGTACAAACTATTGGTTGTAAGAAAAGCTCAAAGGATGTATTGTACAACACAGGGAATATAGCCAATATTTTGTAATAACTGCAAATGGAAAATAACCTTTAAAATTGTTTAAAAATAAAAAATTTTTTAAAAGAAACAAAAAGAATAATTGAACAGAAAAAAGAGCCCAGAAATAGACTCACGCATATATAGTCAGCAGACTCAGTAGGGAAAGGATGTTCTTTTCAATAAATAGAGCTGAGTTAATTGGATATATCCATTTGGGGAAACAAAACTTGGCCCCTGCCTTACACCATAAACAGAAATTAATTTGAATTGGATCATAGACTAAATGTGAAGGTAAAACAATAAAGCTTCTAAAAGAATATGAGAATATCTTCATGACCTTGGGCAAAGAGCACACAAGAAAGCTAGCCATAAAAGAAAAGATTGATAAATTAGACTTTATTAACACTAGGAACCTCATTTTATTAGAGGGACAAAATTAAGAGTGAAAGTCAAGCCACATCCTGGAAGATAATTTGCAATTGATATATTTGACAAAGGAGTTCTGTTCAGAATATACACAGACCTAAAAATCAATATGAAAAAGACTGACACCGATTTTTTTTAAAGAGCAAGAAATGTAAACAGGTACTTCACAGAAGAGGATATTGAAATATCTCTTAAGGAAATGAAAAGTTGTTCAACCTCATCAGTCATCAAGGGAATGCAAGTTAAAACCGTAGTGAGATACTATTCTATCACCAAAATGAAAAGAACTGACATTACTAAGTGTTGGCAAAGATGTGAAGCAACTGGAACTCACATACACTGCTCATGGGACTACAAATGGATATAATTACTTTGGAAATCAGTTTGGCAGTTTCTAATAAAGTTAAACATATATCTGCCCTATCAGCAGATACACTGCTAGGAAACGCATGTGTATGTCAACCCAAAGGTCCATTACATTGTTATTTTTAATAGCTAAAAAGATGCTGACACAAAAGGGTAGCACAGTATGATTCCAGTTATATGAAATTTAAAGTGGACAAAAGGTGGTTATCTTTGGCAGGAAAGAATGCCAAAAGCGTAAGGGAGCCAGGTTGAGGACTGGAAATACTCTATTTTGATTGGAGTGATGGGTACATGGATGAATACGTAGGTAAAATTTTATCAAACTGTACCGTTAGTATTTGTGCATTTTATGCAAGTTATGTTATACATCAAAAAAAAGGAAAGATGCACTAGTAGATCTCATTTGTAGACCCTTGCTTTTATGAAACTATTGAAGGATGTTGAGTAGGAAAATGACACTAACACGGTCCTTTAGGAAATTTTTCTGGTGCTCATGTACAAAATGGGTTGTTAGGGAAGAGACTGAAGGCAGGGATGGTGATACAGAAGCAGCGAGTGTGTATTCACAGTATTTTGATCAAAGAAGGCTGTGAAAGTAAAGGAAGACAATGCTCCTGAGACATTGCTCTCTTCCATCAGTAGATCTGGTGATACTAAAAGGCTGCATGTGATTAGCTTGGATTTTTCCAAGCACAACATATCTGATTTTTGCTTTTTGCCCTGTGTCTTAGAACACTAAGATAATGCTAAAAGTTGATAAACTTAGCTGGAGAGATGATAAGCAAAAGGATATTAGAACTTAGAACAGGCCAGCATTGTATTTTAATGTGGCATTGTTCAAGTGTGTGTGTGTGAGAGAGAGAGAGAGATCTCACATAGCACTGTGGTTGGCCCTCTAAGAAATATCTAAAAAGCCACTTTATTGCCCCACCTTGTCATGAGACCCAGGCTAACAGTTCTCCCCTTGTCTGCTGATCCTGTGATGATAGGCGCCGTCTCAGCGCCCTGGCCATGTCTCTGCAGCAGCTGCTGTGGCAGTGTCCTCACTGAGTTTCCATGGAAGAGCTTTTGTTTCTGCCCGCACGTGTCCTTCCATCATTGAACCCTAACAGTTCTCTCATTGTTGCTCTTCCCTTGTAGTGAAGACTGAACCAGAAACACCTGTGCCAAGCTGCCCCTCTCAGGATGGTCACACAGCAGTGAAAACAGAAGAAAGTTCTGAGCTGGGAAACTATGTCATTAAGTAATTATTTCAGTCCTCTCTAAGGGAGTTGTGCTTTCGGTGTGTTTATGGTACTTTTAAAAAACCATCCCTGAGACAGCTGCATATGTGTAGAGTTGTGTGTATGAGTTAAGCCCTTTGATGGGTGGAAACCTTCTGTCTGTGTGTGGTGAACAAGTATTACCGTTTGCTGCACAGCTCAGGAGTCTTCATTTAACCCCTTGACGTGACCTCTGAGCAGCACTTGATTTGTTGCCTCAAAAGCCTCCGCTGCAATTACAGATCTCCCTCCATTTGAGCTTACTATCACGAAGTTTCTTTGCTGAATCTTTGGGTATGAAATTTTTCATGATGTAATTACTCAGGTGTGTATACATTTTGTGTCGGAGTATCCACACACCTGCCTAATCTTAAACAGCTGCCTTTTCATGGCCCATACAGACTCAGTGCTTCGTTTTTGTTTTTTTTTTGCGGTACGCGGGCCTCTCACTGCTGTGGCCTCTCCTGTTGCGGAGCACAGGCTCCGGACACGCAGGCTCAGCGGCCGTGGCTCACGGGCCTAGCCGCTCCGCGGCATGTGGGATCTTCCCGGACCGGGGCACGAACCCGTGTCCCCTGCATCGGCAGGCGGACTCGCAACCACTGCACCACCAGGGAAGCCCATCAGTGCTTCTTCTAAAAATACTCCTAGAGATTTTCTAATTTCCGAATTGGGAACCCACCTCTGACTGCATATTTTGAAGTATTTCAAACTGCTGGGAATGGTAGAAGCTTAGCCACTTTCATATAACAGGTGACAGCATGAACTGTAATAACCCTAAGATAGGCATTGTATGATAGAATCCCCTACTCTAGTGACAATCACATTGCAAAAAGATTACGTGGCTATTTAATTTTAAAATATAGATAAAATGAAATGTCAGGTTTGCATAATTTGTCATTCTTGGGGTTTCATCTTAGTGTTGACTTTTTAAGCATTGAATGCTCTTCATTTATAAAGAAGGCTATGCATAGAAGGAAGGACATACCAATATAGTTGGTTTAAATTTTAATTCCCTTGGAAAGGAGAAATATATACATAAATTCATATGTGTTATGTGCGCACACACACACACACAGTTAGAAACTGCTCTGTGTATTCCCTACCTTAATTTTCTTTTCTTTGTCCTTCTCAGGATAGACCATTTAGAGACTATCCAGCAACTCTTAACAGCAGTAGTAAAGAAGATCCCTTTAATCACTGCAAAAAGTAAGACAATACTGAATATATGGATGCATTTTTTTTAAAGCTATGAAGTACTTGGGATATTAAGTCAACTTGAATCACCTGGTGTTGTAATTAATACTGACATGGTAGTTATCACAGAGGTTTTAGCTACAGCTGTAGCTCATTTGCAGGGTTTTAGAATTAATATCTTGGTCAGTTAGTCTTACTATTTGCACGGTTTGATCTGCAGAAGGAATTTTTTTATCTTTCATCTAACACTCACTCTGTAGAAATAAACAACTGTCAAGACCTCCTGCAGTGATGTCTCCTCTATCCCTGCCCATTGTCAGCAAGACTGAACAGTTTGCTTCTCAGCCCCAATTGCTCTGACAGAATCAACAGCCCTCACCAAGGGCATGACCGACAGCCTGTGGATACTTAAGCTTCGGCTCTCGGGCAAGATCACCCGCGAACATTTAGAGGGAAGGGATGAAGCGGATTATCATTTCACATTCATGGGAATATGGAAACAATAGGCCAAGTACAGACTACCTTGTTTATTTTTTCCAGCTGTAATAGCAAAGAAACTATTTTTTTTCCCCTCAAAGGGGTCATTTCGAGGTAGCTCAAAGTAAACTCAGTGATTTTTCTAGCCCAGCAAGAAAAAAATTTTTAAAAAAATTCAGATACAAATACAGAATATTAGAGCTGAAAGGCAGTTCTGGAACTGTCTTTCCCAGTGGTCTCATTTTACAGTTAAGAAAACTGAAGCCCAGAGAGATGATATAGGTTGCCCAAGGCAGCTTAGTGAATGGCAAGGCCAAGGCTATATCTCAGGTCTCCTGTTCCCAGTGGAGTGCCATTTCCACTTATTTTAATAGGTAGTCTACTGCCATGATACTTTCTCTACCAGAGAAGCTGATTTCCCAGGAAGGGCTGTTGTTTTGAGAACACACGAATGAGTGTGTTATGTTGCATCTGAACTTGCCTGTTAAGGAACATAGCCAATAAAGAGGTCTAAAGAAACTTTTGGACATGCTTCCAGCAAATAAGATTTTATTTAAATCATAACTTTATTCAGAGTTTGCTGGATATGTGCATTCTAGGTGAAGATGCCAGCTGTTTTTCTGCAAAATCTGTGGAGCAGTATTATGGCTGGAACATTGGGAAAAGGAGAGCTGCTGAGGTAATCCCATGTTTGCTGCAGGCCACCACTGAGAGCCTATTAGAGAAAATAACCAAAACACATACGCATTCTGGCTGCTTCCATAAACCTCGTCACATGGAGCAATGATAAATTTTGCAGCATGTTTCGTTAAATTTTTTTTTTTTTAACTTTATTTTTTGTCCGTGCCGGGTCTTCATTGCCGCACACTGGCTCTTCGTTGCAGCGCCAGGCTTCTCTCTAGTTGTGGCATGTGGGTTTTCTCTCTCTAGTTGTGGCGCGCAGGCTCTGTAGTTTGTGGTGCTCGAGCTCAGTAGTTGCGGCGTGAGGGCTTAGTTGCCCTGTGGCATGTGGGATCTTAGCTCCCCTACCAGGGATCGAACCTGCATTGGAAGGCAGATTGCTTTACCACTGGACCACCAGGGAAGTCCCTCGTTAAATATTTGATGGTAGAACTTTTTCCTTAGTTAAAAATCTCATTCTCCAAAGACATGTAGCTAGCCTTTGAAAGATCTACTTTTTCCTGCATTGGTAAAAGTTTCTAAAAAATTTTAAAGAATTATATTAAAATTAAGTCAAGTATTTATTACTCAGTGTGGTAGCAACTGTGCCAGACAGTAAGGTTATAAGAGGGAAGTAGCAGGTACAGAGGCATGCTTAGGAAGCTTTGAGAAAGTCTGTGTGATGAGTTTGGGGAAGGCTGGGAAGGCTGGGGAAGTGGGAGATCACAGGTTAAGACCAGGTGAAACACCTTGTAGGCCAAACCTAGGAATTTCAGTTTTATTTTATAAGCATTAGGTAAGAGTTTTTACTTTTTTTAAAAACTGAGGAGTAACACCATCAGATTTTTTTTCCTTAGAAAAAAATGATTCTAACAAGTTAGCATGGTAGTTTAGAGTTGGGTGATTTATTTGAACACGCTAAGTTGAAGAATTCTCCCCCTCCCTCCTCAATTTTTTTAAGTGGCAAAGAGCGATGACAATGCGAAAAGTCTTACAAGAAATACTGGAAAAGAATGCAAGATTTCATCACCTGACCCCGCTTAAAACCAAGCACATTGCTCACTGGTGTCGCTGCCATGGCTACACCCCACCTGACCCCGAAAGCCTGAGGAGCGACGGGGACTCGATCGAGGATGTGCTGACCCAGATTGACAGCGAGCCAGGTAAGCACTGGTGGGACTCTGGCACCATCAGCAGCCGAGAGGTGTTTCCTTGGAGCACGTGGTCACCTGTCAGCCTCCATGGTTTTCGGGCCACGTCAGCCCCAGCAGTTTTCCATGCTCTTTCCTTCAGCTGAGGTGAAGGGACCTGAGGACTCCAAGAGCTGCCTTAAAGAACAGGAGCCCACCCTGGGTGTCCCGCCCACCCCTTAGGATGGTCCCTACAGAACTATTTGTGCCCAAGTGTCCCAAGTGTTGTGCCCCAGCCAGGAATGTTCTGGCCCGTGACACGCAACAGGAACACACTGTTCATTCAGGAGCCCCCTTCCTCAGCATCATTTCTCCTTTGAAGACCTTCTTGATCTAACTCCTTTCCTTGTGGTAGAAGTGACTTCTTCCTTTGTGACCTTATAGCCACCCTCACACAGACGAGTCTTCTCCCTGAAGATGGGGACGATGTCTTATCTGTTACTTTATCTCCAAAACCTAGCCTGGAAGTGCACTGCCCAGTGCTGGAGGCACAGGTTTAAACAACTAATAATGTTGCAGATAAAACGAATTGTTTTATGATAAAGACACAAATAACTGAGCTATATGTGGGCAGGGGTGCAGGGGAGCTGGGTATAAAAGACATATGGGGAAAATATTTTGAGTTTCACCTTAATGAATAAGGAGTGTTTTCTCCTCTCAGCCCCATTTCTGTAGAAAAACAGATGCTCCACCTCCCAGTCTGAGGGAACCTGGAGCACAGGGAGGGTCTGGGGGGGTTCCTTTAAGACTTAGCACAAGTCCCACTTTCTCCATGAAGCTTTCCCCAGAGCCCTAACACAGGTCCTTTCTCTGATCTCCAGTGGTATTTAATATCAGAACCTTGAGGGTTTGTCAGATTTATATCTAAGCTCTTTGGAGAGCAGAGACCATGTCGATTACTTCTGTGCTTCACCGGTAGTGTATGTAAAGCACAATACTTTACCTGTACTAGGCTTTCTGTTAATATGACTGACTGATCTGTGAGCATCCTGCCAATAAAACAGAGAAAGCCAGGAGCTGGATGCTCTACCTCCATCCTGCTGGCTGCCCTTAACTCCATCTTGTCCCAGTCTGGACCTCACTTATTTATCTATAAAGTGAAAGGGATGCACTAGAAGATTCCCAGAGCCCCTGCTGGCTTTAAACTTCTAATACTCTTTGTTGGGTTTTGTATAAATCAACTTATTAAAGACTGGATGCACAATATACACTAAAATGTTAGTAGTACTTATCTCTAAGCAGAGCATGGATGAGTTTTAATTTCTTCATTGTGCATTTCTAAATTCTCCAGATTTAAAATCTGAAAACAAATTAGTGGAGTGGGAGGATGGCCTCGTTTTTGGTGGCATAAGTATGAATTATGTGCTGTTTTGACTTAGATTGTCCTTAACAGCACATATGTTTTAATGCAAGATGCCTGTCTTGGTGCTTGTCTCCCTTATGAATTACTAGTTCTCATAATTATAGATTCATAGAATTTTAGAACCAGAAAGAAGGTCAGCTCCCTTGATACTTACCCTTCTTCTCTGGGTCTCAGGCTATTGGTCCCTTGGAGATGGACAGTCCCTTTCTTTTGTCACCACAGCTGTCATAAGACTGATTACCTCTCATTTAGAGTGCCCGTCATCATTCTCCTCTGCTGACAACCTCTGCCGGAAACTGGAGGACCTGCAGCAGTTTCAGAAAAGAGAGCCGGAGAATGAGGAGGAGGTGGACATCCTCAACCTCTCAGAGCCGTTAAAGATAAATATCAAAAAAGAACAGGACGAGAAACAGGAAGAAATGAAATTCTACCTGCCACCAACACCAGGCTCTGAATTTATTGGTGACATCACACAGAAGGTAGGGGACTAAGGCCTGTGCTGCTGGATCCCTAACCAGGTGCAAGGTGCAAGGTGTTCAGCCTTAGAAACTGACACCAGACTTTCTGGTGAAGCAGGTGTATGATTTCCTTCTGCCTGGTAAACCTGGGCTCTGCTCTCTGGGCACCTGCCTTCCTACATCGGGGCCTTTGAACAGGAAAATGAATTACATATGTAGAGAGGCTGCTCGTTGAACATGAAATTGAAGCAAAGGCAGCTAGACGTAGGCAGTTTTTTACTTTTCATCTGCTCTTTTCTCATTTGCCTCAGTAGAAGCACCCTTTCCTCATGAGGCATGTCATAATGAGCTCTCCCTGACACTAATAGCTCCCAAGTGCCCTGCCAGGGTGTGGACGTGGCACTCAGTGCCCTTATGGTACAGGAGAGAATTATCTACCTACCTCCAGTGGAACGCAGCCTCACTTCAGCATCTGCCCGCTGCACAGCTGCCTGGGACCCAAGTGATGAAAGACTAGTTTTTTTTCACCTACAGAAGGAGATGACAAGTGGGGCCGTTTCCAAGTATATCTTTATCACCTATTGCAAATAGGGCCTGAGAGTCTGATTCCAGGCTTTCCAATATGTTGCTCCCACTGTCAGAATTCATGGCAAATCCTACGTTCTCTCATGAAGGAGATTTGGGGGTAAGAGCAGGATTATAGTAGCATTTTTTAACAATCCCTTAGAAACATGGAGTGGTAGGATAACAGATTTTCGGGTGGTTATATTCTGTGTTACTTCTTCATGAGTTTTGTCCAGAACGTTTGTGGAGTTATTCTTCCACCCGGACATCATCTTGGGTATCAGAAGCGTGCTTGTTTTTCATGAAGACATACGAACAAATGGCTTTCTTCTGCTCTTCCAGATTGGGATCACCCTGCAGCCTGTGGCGCTGCATAGGAATGTGTATGCGTCGGTGGTGGAAGATATGATTTTGAAGGTGGGTGCCTGTGGGCAGCAGAGGGGCCGTGAGCTGCCGGCAGGGGCTGAAGCGCTGAGGGGTCAGCCAGGCAGGACAGAAATGGAACAGAGATGACAGGCTTTACGATTTCTCAGCTTATTCGGGCTTAAAGTTTTCTCTTTTTTTTCCTTCTGATTTTTAAATGAATTAAATTGTAGTGCTACAAGAGTTTCTGTGCTGATGTCACTCTAATGATATCTTTCAGTGCCATTTCAAGTGCTTTTTAAGAAGCCTGAGGTGAGAGTCATAGGTCTCAGTGCTTAAAGAGGTGACTCACATGTCACAACAGTAGCCACAACTGTCCCATCCCTCGGTGAGAGGATGACAAAACCAGGTTCCTTACCCAGCCAGATCCTAGCTCAGCAGCTCCTTTCCTGGTAGATCTCCTCCAGGAGCAGGGATACCTCACAAATAGCCCTCACCTGTTCTCCTTAAAAATAATGTCTGACTAATGAAAATTACCCCCTTCATAATTTCTCAGAATCATAGCCTCTGTAATTGTGGGCTATTATTTGTGGTCTATTATTCGAACCTTGAATTTTTCCTTAAGGACTTTTGATCCTTAGATATAGCTGTTTCCAAGTTTAGGGTATGGGATGGGGTCAGCTGCATCCCTTCTTGCCAGCAAGCAGGTGGCCCTTTTGAGAGTAACAGCATCTTCTGTTGTAGGCTACAGAGCAGCTGGTCAGTGACATCCTGAGACAGGCTTTGGCGGTTGGATACCAGGCAGCATCTCACAACAGGTACCGTTATCTCTTTAGTTGGTGGTATCAGGCTGACAGATATTTCCTCACAGTTTAGTTGCCCATCATGATGTTTTAGACCTAAGTCAGTTCAGTAGGAGGTGTCAGTGCTTGGGACATTCTCAGAGCCAGACAGACTTGGGGTCTACTTGGTTGTTTTGAGACAGTCTCGTGGTTGTGAGAGGTCTGTATCTTCCCCGTCTCTACTGCATAGACCCTGTTCAGTAGGACTCTCATATGTTACAGGGTTGAACAAATACCAATTCGTTGCCATTGAAGATAAAAGCAGTGTTTCTTTCGTGTCAGGTTTAGGGCCAGGCACTGCATATATTACCTAATTTGTTGTTCATTTCAGAACTCATGCTCCCTTTTTAGAAATCAGGAAACCGGGCTCTGAAAGGTAATCTTGCCTGGCTTTCCCAGCAAATACATGATAGAACCTAGATTTAAACTTAGATCTCACTGGCTCTATACCCACAGGCTCACCAGTGCTCTTTGCAGCCTCTCTAATTGTCATTGATTGGGACGCTGAATTTTGCTCTTTTCCTGGGCCCTGAAAGAATGATAGACAGGCATTCCTTTCAAAGGAAACATTTATTTTATTCTGTTGTGCTTAAAGGTTGTCATAAATTTATATAACTTTAACAGAATACCTGAGGACATGAAGAGACCTAAATCAGAGGAATATGATTAGGTCAGACTTAACAGGAATGTAACACATCAGGCAGTGTAGAGAGGTCTTTACAAAAAGTGAGGAACAAAGGAGTTCTAGTAATGCTGCTTCTTGTCCTGCTGGAGATCCAGGAGTGGGCGGAGTGCCTCTGCAGCCCCTGCTCGCCTCTCTGGTCCCAAATGTGAAGACATAGAGTGACCTGAGTGCTTTTGATAAGAACATTAAACGTCACACTTGGCCTGCCATGACTCCATCTCCCATCTTTCCAAGAGATGGGCTCTGTGGTGCATTGACTCAGCTTTCATTCAGCTGAGACTGAATTACAGCAATAACGTTCTGTTCTGCTTTACTTCCTTTTTCTTTTCTCAATCCCCAGTCTTTTTTTTCTTCTTCTTAATCATTCAACCACCTTATTGAAATCCATCTCATGCCTCTGGTAGGAAGTCATATTTGAGCACTAAATAGGGCTGACCGGGAAGAGGGTAGGCCACATCTCCACCAGAGTCAAAGGAATTAGTGGGAAAGAAGAGGGGGAGAGAGAAGGCACCTGCCCACTCCCCATCCCCAGAGTGGCCCTAAACCGTGCCTATCACTCATCATCCCCACCTACTGGAGCCTGTGCATGGGATGGTCCTTTCAGTAACTTAATTGGTTAAATTATTTAGATATTTGAGAGAATCACTAACATCTTTGTTTTTTGGACCAGGATTCCCAAAGAAATTACAGTGAGTAATATTCACCAGGCCATTTGCAACACTCCTTTTCTGGACTTCCTCACAAACAAACACATGGGGATATTGAATGAAGATCAGTGAACAGAATGAAGATGCCCCTAGGAAAGCAGGATTCGAAGTCTTGAACTGTGATGATTCTTCTATTTGGGAGAGAAGGTCGTTTTCTGTGTGCCTCGGAGTATGATGGCTACTAAACCATTGCCTCCACTTAGTAACACCAGTGTTCAGTCCCAGGTCAAATCCTTTTAGGAGAGAAGTTTGTTTCCTGATTCTAGAGTGAAGCCATGAGTGGATGCATGCTCTGTCAGCTTGAATCTGTTCCCTCTCCGTGCAGGCTCCATCAGGGTCTCCATCAGAGCAGGGTCAGGCCCCATGTATCAGGCCCTTCTGTCCTCTGCGTGTTTTCCAGTGGGCACCTTGGGCCTGAGTCTCCCTCCAGGAGGCAGAAAAAGAGTCTGGCAAGCTAGAGATTTCACCCATTCTGTGGGCTGGGGTTACAGGCACCACCACCACCACCCTCTAGTTACCCTGATAACATCTGGAGGAGGGCTGGGCTTCGGCACTCAGACCCCAAGCATCGGCTCGGGAAGCAGTGATGCTGTGTGGAAGACACACAAGCCTGGGAGGCTGCAGACTGAGAATGCTTCTTTCATGGGACACAGGAGCATTACTACAACCAGTCTCAGAGCATTGTCAAGGGATGGACAGATCCCAGCATAGGTCAGGAGAAGGTTTGACTACAACTGAGAAGCTCTTAGCCATAGACAGTACCCACAAAGCCCGGGCACTTGGCAGACTCAGGCCAGCTTTGAGTGTGTGCCGGGCAGAGAGCTGGTTCCTCACCATTGGCGTGGTCTGCTGGAGCTTCTGCTGCTGAATCCACGTTGAGTGGCCAGTGGGAAGCAGCCCCTTGGACAGTTCAACCTATCCAGTGGATTTGGTGTCTTGTTCTTCTCTGTCAAGGAGTTTTTCCCAAGAAGAAAAGTGTTTTAAACACTTGTGAGTGCCTTAAAGGTAGAGAAAGGACTGTCAAAGGCAAGACACAGGGATGTCAGTGCTCAGAAGCAGTGAGAACAGATTGTGTCATAGGCAGAGGCCATCTCAGTGGGAGGCAGAAGTGGTCGGAAAAAGGAAAGTTAGCCGCGCCCTGCATGATGTCCAGTTTCATTATAGACACTTTACCCCAATCCTCCTGACAGTCTGTAGAAGTAAAGAATTTATTCTCAGCAGTTAGGAATCTGCTCCAAGAAAAAGTGAAAGCTGTGAGTCAGAGCCAAAGAAACTTATCCAAGCAACATAATTCACGTTTTCATGAATCCTCTAGATGTTCGAGTCAGGAGAAGGCAGGGAGGCAACTACAAGAAATCTGCCCTTTATTCAGCATCTGAGGACAGCAGCTGCAGAGGGAAATTACTCAGTAAGGCATAGGGCACGTCCTGGCTTAGTAATAAAACAGTTCAGTAGTAAAGGCTCAGATATTCCATACATAAAATACTCCAAGCAAGGTTAATGGGCAAGTGTAGACTCATTCAGCAGTGGACTGTGACTCAGATCTAAAGAATGAAGATTTGCTCCAAATGAGAACAGAGTCAGTTATTACAGGTGTGAAAGCCTCAAGAAATTATCTTTTTGCAAAAGAAATAGTAAGCGATTTAACAGTCCCCATATATGTTAATGTTGCAATGAAATGTATTTGTATCATAATATGTAACATAATTGTGTAACAAAAATATCTACAATAAATCTTTCAGTATTTGTGATGGGTTTTTCTGAGTTTGGAGCACTACACTTTGGTAGGGTTTTTCTTACATTAGGTCAAAAAGAGCTGGGATGAGGCAAAGGTATAGGTGTTTGTGTACTTGAATTAATTCTTCCACTTCTTTCCAAAAAGAATTTGCAGCTACTTAAAATAAGGATTACAGTTATATAAAAATCTGAAAAAGTTTTGGAAAAATGCATGTTGGTCCTGGCCATAGTGGTTTCTGACAGCTTGGAGCAAAGGAAAACTACCTCAAAGCCAAAGCAAAGATTAAAACAGCTCCTGTTGTCCAATCAAGAAGCACACTGGTTCGTCTGGCAAGAATGGGTCTGTGCTGAAGCCAGAAAGAAGTTACTCCTGTGACCCAGTCCTGCTGGGACCATCTGCTATCACAGTGGCTAAAAAATTACAGCAAGTACAGAAATATTTCAGAAATGACTATTATTTATATCCACCCTTAATAAGAACTAAAAGCTTTGAAAGCTTTGGTTCTTCAAAGGTAAGAAGTTCTTTGGGGAGGAGGCCCCGTAATACAATCCAAGTATGTAGCTTTCCTGGGACCAGGCTTCACTTAGTGTCAACCTTTACGAAGTTGATGGTCTGGAGGAAGGAGAATAGGGGCATTGACTAGACCCCCTTCTTGAATGTTATTTTTGTCAGCCACGGTTTTGCCGTACCTTAATCGGGGACTCCCTCTTAACTGACTGAAGGCGCCTGTGTGAGTGAGGCCAGCGGAGCTGATCCTGCTCAAAGGGTCCCCCGTTGGCCCAGGGTGGGCTGCATGGCCAAGGTTCTCTCAAAAGCTGCTTTTTGGAGTTTGGCCGAAAATCCTGGAGTTATTACAAGGATGAAAGTATCAGTGTTTGTAATGGGTTTTTCTGAATTCGACTCACTACGGAGCCGTCAGTCTTGGTCTAAATGACTGTGGGTGACAGGACCCAGGGGCCTCCCTGTGGTTGGGCCTCCTCACGGCTGGTCAAGGCTGCTACTGCAGCGCTAACTTTGGTCATGGAATAATTAATTTGAACTCTTTCCTTTGGCTAAAATTACCTAACAAACAAGCAGATTAAACTGCTTTTTAATTTAATATAAAAATGCTAATTATATAGAAACTTTTAGCAAATACTGTAAGGTGTAAAAAATTTTTAATTATCCATAGTTCCCCTTCTCAAAGATAGCCACCATCAGTGTTCCAGTGCGTTCCTTTCGGTCTTCGTCTGTTTGTATCATACATATGACCTAGGTGAGTTGGGACCACGTGGCTGAGGCTGCTATTATCTCAGTGTTAAGGCCTTATGAAGACCTAGTGGGAGGAAGCTGCTGTTTCAGAATCCAGATCTAATAATTAATGAAGTCTAGTAAGGAAGGCTGTTGGGTTGGGGTGTTTTTGAAAAGCTGTTTGTTCCTGGGTGTGCAGGATGCCTTCCAGAGGTCAGGCCTCTCTCAGGCAGTGGTGTGCCCACCGCTGCTGCAGTGCCAACACTGCCAGCATGGGGCAGCCTGCTTTACCCCCAGCTCAGTGAATGGGCTCTTGGGACAGGCTCTGGGGGAGGGATGGGCATGGCTGGCTATGTGGTGTGACACAGGCAGGGGCTACTGAGAGGGCCTGTCAGTGGCATCAGATGGACCAAAGCTGCAGATGGGAGTAAAGCAGGCTCCCGGGAAGGGGTGCTTGGGCAGGAGAGAATAAGTACAGCAGCTGTGCTTTGTTGGCCATTTACTGTACTAAGCACGCTGCACATAAACACATTCTCTAGGGGGGGTGGGGAGGGGAGTGGCATTACCCATACTTTGCAGATAAGGAAACAGAAGCTTAAACTGCTCCCAGCTAGTGAATGGAAAAGCCAAGATTTGAGCCCAAGACTAGCTTCAAAGACAGTCCTTTTACCCTAGGCTCCTAGTGGGGTTGGGGGGAAATGGGTAAGTGTAAAAGAGGAAGTTCGTGGGTTCTGTTAAATATTACTACATACGACAGCAGTGCGACTGCAGCCCAGGGTCAGCGTTCTCAGAATCTACAAGCCTCCAAGGGAGAGCAGCAGTAGCCATGGCACATTGAAGTCCTCTTACTAAGAGGAGATAAAGGAAGACATGAGAAGGCGTTCGTGTTTATAATTAATTTAAAGAAATGTTAAATTGAAACAATATGTTTGCGTTTTAGTAAAATCTGGGATTGTACCATTAATCTGTTTGCTTCTCACAGAATGCCCAGCACGCAGTCTCTTTTCCCTTAGAAGCATCTAACATGCAAACCAATGAAGTCTGAAATAATAGGACCCTTTGTGTAAGCATATGGTTTTGCTTTTCCCTTTAAAATGATTCTCTCAACATTTCCTTTGCTGGAAATGTGCCAGAGCTGGGAGCTAGCACCTCTGAGGGGACTGATGGCCCCTCGCAGCCTGAGCTGGAAACAGGGCTCCGCCTCCGCTCTGAGCTGCTTCTAAAACCTGAATGCCACCTCCCGTGGTGAAAGTAAATGCTCACCTGGCTAAGCCACCTGAGGGCTGGAAAGAGGTAAAGATCCAAAGGGAAATCCTTGAGCTTCCTTACCGAAACTGTCCTTAGCTTGTGCCTCTGATCTCTAAAAGGAACACAAACTCCTTCAAATGTTTCCAGGGCTGCTGTGCAAAGAGGGGACCAGGCTAGTTCCAGGTGGCTGCACTGGCTGGAATTTGTCAAGAAAGGAGAGGGCCTTCCAAAAACAGAATGAGCTGCCTCAACAGCTAGTGAGCTCCCTGTAATGAGATGACGTTTTCAGGTCTTTCAGGGAATGAAGCTAATGCCACCCTTCTCCCAAAGAAGCTCCCAGTTCTTAGTATAGTAGTTCCCATCTAGTCATCAATACATTAAGGGAACAAAACTGGAGTCAGTAATACTAAGGTAAATGTCATTCACTCAGTACTTCACTCATCCCAAGAAATGTTTTGTTAAAACCAGGGTCGTCTTGGCCATAAAGAAATTGTCTTTAAAACTGAAACCCTATGATTGATATTCTGCTTCTTTGGGAAACTTCTTCCTGGTTACTTAGCATCATCATGAGTCACATGCAGGTGATAACCTAAGATTTCTTCTACAGCCTGAACATGTGGGGCCGTTGGTGGGACTATCCAAGGACACCACGTTGGGTTACCATCGGTTATAAAATTGTCATGCAGCCTGCGAAAACAACAACGTGGACATTACTGGATCTTTCAAGGACCTGTTATGTCCATATTCCTCAGCCCCCAACGACCAATTCAGTTCACAGTAGAATTGATCAAGTTCTTCAGATTTAAAAAATGAAGGGTGGCCAAAAGAGGCAATTAAAAAAGATCTGAAGCCTTCCGCACACATCTCTGAGGCCCAGAGCTGAGCTGGGTGGTGCTGTGTCCCTCTGTGCCTCTGTTCTGCCCGCAGCCTCGTGCAGCTTGGAGAGGAAGTAGTGCCCCACGGTGAGAACGGAGGACCCTCCCCCTCTGACAGCAGGGGCCATCTGGTCCTGAGACCTCACCCAGTCCCTGGGCAGTGGGTTCTGATCCTCTGTGGCTGCTCGCTCCTCTCCGTGGGCAATCACACGTTGAGGATCCGGGGAGCTGAGGCCTGAAAGATGGCTGAGGGGTTAGGGGCGAACTTCTTCCTCACCTCAGGGACCTGGAAAATGAAATGTGGCCACAGATCAGCGGGCCTTTCCCTCGACTTTCCCCCTCCCCACAGCTCCAGGAAAAAAATCCCCTCTTTGTCCTTGAGAGTTGGGACTGCTAACCTGAAGGGTCTGCAGTTAACGCAGGGTTCCTGCGTTAGTGGACATTGGCCAGATGGAGCACGTGGACCATCGTTTCTCCCTGAAGCCTCTTTTGGGTTGAGTCAGGAAGCTGAACGGCCCCACCTCCCTTCCAGCTCCTCCTTACATGAACACCGGGGCCTGGACAGCTTGTCACTAGGGCTCAGTGGCCAAGGGTAAGATTGGGATTTAGAAGGGAGGGGACACCCTTCTCCCCAGAGAAGTCAGCACTAGGGGGACACACATGTGGCTAACGACAAAGCAGCACCTTGGCTTTCTGTTCGCGAGTGACAATTGGGTGTTGAGACACCACTGTCCCTGGCATAATGCCATCCTACACCACCCAAACCTGACTCCTAGTCCCTAACCTGGAAGAAAAGCCTCTGTCCTCACACCCCCTGCAGCCAGGCACCCAGCCCCTCGCCCTGCAGCACCAGCTTCGGACTGACCTGGAAGCCAGCCCCGGGGCTGCTGTCCCATCCAGAGCTGTGGGTTGTGATGACTGTGGCGGGTTTCACCTTTGTGGATCTCGATGGCTTCACTCCAGTCCAAGCCTGGAATTCCTGTCTGGAACAGAACACATCACAACCTTGCACAGGGTCTCCCGTCCCTTCCCCTGACCCCTCAGAGGCCTCGGCCCTTGCCCTGTGCTTCTGGAATATTCCTGACCAATGTCCACTGCTGAGATGCTGCTTTGGCTGCAGATGTTCCTTTCTCCCCTTACAAAGGCAGAACTAGCAGACGAAGTGTACCCCATACAGCTCCAGCGGGAATTTTCTCTCACACTGCTGGGGAGCAGTGGCACAGGCTGCACAGGGAGTAAGCAGAGAGCTCAGTCAACAACTGGATCCTACTCATCCCGAACTGCAAGCTCCCAGCGTGTGCTGGCCCTCAGAGACAGCACGTTCCAGCCCTGCCCTCCAGGGCTCCCTATCTTGCCTCCGGGCCACTTCAAGGGGCCCTAGAGGCCCAGAACCAGCGAAAGTCGCTCGCCTGCAGCCCACGTCGCTGGTGGCCCTTATGTCCAGAGGAGGTGACGGACTGGACAGCATACTGCACGGTCCTCCATACCTGGTTACAACTGAGGAAGAAAATGAGGCTCAGTGTTGTGTTTAGTTTTTAATAACTTGTCTTATTAACTCCTACAAAAGAGTATAAGTCGTAGTGACCATCTCAAGAAACTAAAGACAGCCTGGCGCTGTGGCTTTTGTATGGCGCTGTGCCCGCGGGCACTGATGTGCAGGAGCAGGGAGGGACGGTGGTCTGCACAGGGGGTAGGTGTTGGCTACCTGGAGGGAAGTGACAAGGCTGGCACGGCCTAGCTCCAAGTGCTCAGAGTAGCATTCTTTTGACAAAGACTCAATTCCTCAGTTCCTCTTAAAAAAAAAAAACAAAAAAAAAACACCTATTTTAATTCTATCAACTCCCCTACTAAATGGCAGAGACCTCCTGTGCCCACAGGAGCCGCTGACCAAGGTGATGTTCTGAGGAAAAGGGTCCAGATGGCCAGAGGCAGCATCCATATTTGGCCTGGGTCCAGCCCAGCCTATCTCACCCCATCCACAGCCCTGGCCAGGTTTCAGGCCCTGAGATCAACAAAGTAGCCTTTTCTCCTTAGCAGCACAGCTGGGCACCACTGGGCATGACACGTGTGCAGGGAGCAGCTGTGTCTGTCTGTGGCCAGCACTTGGGTACCAGGAGGCGAATTGGGCCAAGGCCCTATTGGATAACTTTTGCTTCCAAAGCTGCAAGGTTTCAAAGACCAGCTGCCCGAGCCATCTGCTACTCTGTTTCTCCTGGGGAAGCAGGTCCTCCCCTTGGTGTGCCCTTCTGTTCCCACACTGAACTGAGCCTTGGGTCTGGCAGCCCAAGCCTGCTGCCCCAGGGTGGCTGCAGGGGTCCCAGAGCAGGAGGTGACCAGAGCCAGGGGCTAGAGCAGTGCCTGTGGTTCCTTGTGGGACAGGCCTGGTGCTGGAGCCCAGGTGAGAGGGAGGCCTGCAGTGGGGATGGAGAAGGGACGTTGAAGACAGACTCGGCAGGGCCTGGTGACTGCCCAGGAGATGAGGAGGGCAGGCTAATGGCCTGCCAAGGAGATAATACAGGACTAGCTGAGTCAACTGTGCCTCCCCTCACCAAGAAGTTTCCACCACTGTCCACCTCATGTGAGCCTCAGCTGGACCTTGAGGGCCGCAGTCCCTCCTGCTGAGGGGCAGGGAGCCACCCAGGGCATTGCAGAGCGCCAGACTGAGGGTCCTGAGGCCTGGGTTCTCAGGCCAACATGGCTTCAAACAAATCCCTGAACTTCCCTAAGCCTTCCCGATGGGCACTTGGAAAAGTGGGAGTCAAGTCTGGCACTTTGACTGTTGGCCCTTTAACTGACTCACCCAGGAAGGAAAGAGGGAGACGACTGGGCCAGGGGTGCTGACACACCGAACTCTGGAGGGAAGGCTCTGGGAGGAGCTGGTCAGGAGGAAGGACCCAGGCTGGCAGTGGGCAGGACCCGCTGCCCTTCTGGCCGAGTGAGAGGCAGGTCAGTTCTCACCTGGAGACCAAGGGCCAGGTGAGGCAGGACCTGCTGGGGTGGAGAGGAGTAGCCACGAGTACTCGTATCCCTGGGCTCTCTGGATCTGTTCATTTCCTTTGCTTTGTAAATTTCTTTAACTAGTTCGCTTAGGTAACGTGCATCTTTCAAGAAGGCAGGTGGGATGGAATTGCTCATTCCAGTAGTAGAGCTGGGAGATGGAGGGTCCCCGAGGTCGGCTCGCACGGTGCTGGGGAGCCAAGTTCAGCAGTGGTCCTATGTCTCTGCCAGGTGACCCAGGCAACTAAGCTCTTGCTATTTCTGCTTCACAGATGAGGAAAGGGTCAGAGGGGCCAAGTGACCCACCGAGTTTATATACCAGGAAGGAGAGCTCTAGTGAGTCCCAACTCTTGCCCAACTCGGTACTTTTCCACCACTGCCGGACACAGGTCAAGCAACTACCTGATTCAGAGGAGGCAGCATCTTAGGAGATGATAACCTATTAGGGGCACAGATTTGGTCTCTGAGGCAAGACACACTTGGGTTCTGCTCTGCTCTGCGTGACCTCGTGCCAGCCACTCAAGTTCCTCATCTATAGAATGGGGACAGCAAGAACTGAACTTATTCCAGGGCGTTATTGTGAAGTCTTGGGGAGATAATCTGTGGGAAGTCCTAAGCCTGGTGCCTGGTACGTGCCAAGCAGAGAGTAATAACTAGTACCTTTAGTATCACTGGAGCTGGAAGGACCCAGCAGGACATTCAAACCTGCCATCTGCTCAGCAAGGGTGAGGGATGGCTTCTAAAAGTCCAGCCTTTGCTTGGACACTTCCAGTGAACAGGAGATCAGCACCACGTGACCTTACCCATCCCAGTCAGTTCTAATTATTAGAAAGTGCTTCCTTCCCTGAGCTGAAGCTATCTCCCTGCAAGTTCCGCCCGCATCTGTGCCTGGAACATCAGCCATTTGAAGGCGCTGCACACCCAGGACCTCTGGCCTTCCAGACCTGTCATTCAAGGCCCCTCCAGCTGGTTCAGGGCCCCGTCGTGCAGCAGTCGGCACCGTCCACTGCGTGGCTGAGGCCCCAGTGCTGCGGCTCAGTGTCTGCCCTGCCCTGACACCCCTGGCTGCATTTCTGCAGCTCAGCTTGAGCACACGTCCCTGAACACAAGACCCATCCTGAAACAGCCGCTCCCCATCGAGTTCCTTAAAACCTGCATGCCCGTGAAGGAACCTCTGGGGAGACAAAATGTTCCACGTGTCTGAATTATGGTGGTGATGCCCAGGTGTATACAAAAGTCATCCAGCTGTACACTTATAATGGATGAATTTTACTATATGGAAATTATACCTCAATACAGTTGATTTTAAAAGTAATAAAATTGAAGGAGAAAGTTCATACCTTTTGGCCCTTAATTCCACAGGTAGGAATTCATACTAAAGAAATTATTGTATAAGCAAAGATTTAGCTACAAGAATGCTGATCAAAAGAGATTTTTTTTTCTCTAAAATTTTTTGTTAAAGGTAATACATGTACTTTTTTTTTTTTTAAGAGCAGTGGTTCAGGGAATTCCCTGGTGGTCCAGTGGTTAGGATTCCGTGCTTCTATTGCAGGGGGCATGGGTTCCATCCCTAGTCGGGGAACTAAGATCCTGCAAACCATGTGGCACAGCCAAAAGAAAAAAACAAAGCAGTGATTCAAAAGGGCAGAGTGAAAAGTCCCTCAGTCTCCTTCCACCCCTGGCAGCATCCACAACTCCTTCCCCTTCTTCCTCTCCCTAAAGGTTACCATTTTCTCACACATCCATGCAGAGACATCCTACGCTTATTTCAGCAGATATGTATGTATCAATAACCCCTTTAAAAACACAAATAGTAGCAGATGTATCTTTTTGACATCTTCTATTATCAGTACATTCTGGGCTTCCCAGTAGCCCATCCTATGGCAGAGCTATAATTAACCAGTCCCCTACATCAGTAGGACAATGGAACTGTTTCCATTTTCTGCTGTACTGTTGTTGACACGTACCTTATACTCCTTAGCTCCCACCCCATGTTCAAGGTTACCTGTAGGGAAAATTTCTACAAGTGAAGTAACTAGATCAAAGGAACAGTGTTTTTAATAGCCCCAAATTAGAAACACCCTAAATATTTAACGACATGAGAGTAGGTTAATATGTGGACATATATATCAATATATGGATAATGTATATCCATAAGATAAAATACTGCACATCCATTAAAATTCATGTTGTAGGAGAGCATCTAGTAACACGGAATGACATCCACGATACGTGAAAGAAAAAAAAAACGTGTACAGTTACAAATCTATGCAAGAATTATAAACAGATACGCACTCAAATGCATGTTAAGGATTAGAAAGAACTACGAGTTTGGGGTAGGATTAAGGGCATACTCATTTTCTATGTTGTAATTTCCGTAATTTCCAATTTTTCTGATCACTTGTTATAAGAAGACAGAAAGCCCTCAGCTGTCCAGGGGCAGAACACAGGCCTGTCCTCAGTGAAAGCCAAGTCAGCTGCCCTCAGTCACTCAGTGGCATCTCTAGGGGACCACCCACTTGGAAGCTCTGCATTTGGTCCTCACCACCAACGCCCCCACAGAAGGCGATCCTCAGGCAGTTGGCCTGCGAGCACCCCTCCTATGGCTAGGCCCACCTGGTGGAAGTTAAGGGGAAGAGGATTTTAACTCGGTCGAAGGCAGGCTTTCTGCCAGGACTGCCCGAGAGGGCAGCGAGTGAGGTAGTGAGCTCGCCGCCACGGAGGTGCTCGCTCGCTCACTCACTCCGAGTCTGGTCGGGGAGCATCGAAGGAGACGCTGGCAGTGCCAGGAACCAAAGGGGATGACCTCGGAGGCCACCCACGGCTCTCTAAGTCGTGTGGGATGGGGGCTCCAGGCGCCTCCTCCCTCCCGCCCACCCTGATACTCCAGGCTCCCCAGCTCAGTCTCCTGGGACCACGTGGTTTGCGTACAATGCGCTCCCCTGCCCCCAGCCTCATACCTGTACGATGTGGTCGCCGCTGCAGCCGCATCTGCGTCGCCGACGGGGAGCACGTAGACCCCCCGGCTGTAGGGCGCGGGGGGCTTGATCCTGCGGCCGCCCGCTCCCGACCCGCGCCCCAGTGTTGCATCTCTGGGCCTCGCGGGCGCCGTCCACACGCCGAAGTCCCGCTGGTACTGAGTAAGCGGCACGTCCCGGCCGGGGTCCCGCGAGCCTGCGGGGGACGAGCCCCTGCGTGAGGTGGCACCGCCCAGGCCCGGCTCCTCGCTCTCGAGTTCGGAGTAGCTGTGCAGGGTCAGTGGCACAGCCACGTCGGAGCGGTCCAGCTGGTTCCAGCGCCGCGCCAGGCAACAGAGGCGGCTGATGCAGGGCCACGCCATGCTGGCCCCGGCGCCTGGCGCTCGCGCTCGCTCGACTCCCTGCGCTCCGGGCAGCACCGCCCCCGCCCGCGGCCCCGCCCTCGCGGCCCTGCCGGCGCTGCCGCAGCCCCGCCCCCCGGCCTCGGGGTGGCCACCCAGGGAGCGGAGGGAGGGCTGGGCGACAGCCCCGCGAGGCCAGGGCCGCCTGTGCAGGGCTGGAGCTGGACGCCGGTGAAGGAAGAGGGTAAGGCTGGCGGGGTGCAGAAACGGGGCTGGGGTTGGAGGAACTGAAACCGCCCGGAGGCACAAGTGTCCAACTTGAAGAATGTCTCATAATTTAATCCAGAGTTCCCTAAATGCTATCTTATAATTTAGACCTGGCTTCGCAGAGGCCGAGGGCCGAATGGCGACAATTCCTAGCCGATCGCCCTCCGCCAGCCCCCAGGCTGCAGCTCGCCTCCCGGAGGGTCTGTTGGACCCCGCCGACAGGGGACAAGCCGTGGCTGCCAGATTTGCGCGAGGCTGCAGCGCGGGGCTCGTGGGCACGCAGGGGGAGACGCGCGATGAGGGGATCACAGGGAAGACTTGGGGCCGCGCTTCCCATAGAACGCGGGTTTGAATCAGCCGTTATGATGCCAAATTTGGGACATCCAATTCAGCTTCCACTGAGAATTGGCATTAGCCCTCAACTGATATTTCCTGAGGCCTAAAATCCCTAATTTTAAAGCATGGCCATAAAGGCTTGCTTATAAAGCTGCCACAAATCTTTGGCCACTATGCTATAAAAGTTTCTCTCCCTCCTGTGCAGAGCTAAATAAAGGTAATCCTCCAGGTCATAGATCGGTCTGTTTAATGCAGGACAGGGTATCAAACAGCTCCCTGGCCACACGCAACGGCTTCCTGAATATTTGACACTAGCCCTCAGTATGCACTGCAGACCAATTACTAGTAACACTGTTGAAACAGCACTGATTACCCAGTGCTCCATCTCAAGCATATACTTGGACAGCATCCAGCCTGTACCTCAGAGGGAGGACTGCAGTACAGCCCTGGCCATCAGAATACAGATTCCTCTCCCAAACCACTGCCTATCTTAGCTTGAAGGCACAGTAAAGTGACACAACGACTGCCCCAAGTGGCAGCAGTTCAGCTGCCTTGGCCAGGCCATGGCCCAAGAGGCAGCAGCAGAGGAGCCTGTGTACCGTGAAGACACTGGGAGGTTACACACCTGCTCAGGGTACGCTGGCTTTGTGTGACTTATGTATGCCAGGCCCTGGGTCAGCCACCTGGGAGACTGGTGACTAAAACACTCTGTTCTGCAGAAAAAAAAAAGCAGCCCTTCTTGTTTTGATTTCTTCATTCACTAAACAACAGTCAAAGAGGACTTACAATGTGCCTGGAATAATGCTGGGTGCTTTCAGGACGTTTACAGTGCAGTGGGTGACAGATGTGGAAAGCAGTGTAATAGAGCTTTCCAACAGCGGAGAGAGGGCCAGGGACCTGAACTCGCTGCCCATAGTGAGGGAGGGTAGTGGGGTCGGGTGGGAATGCAGGGTCCAGGGGCCAAGGGTTCAGCCACAGGCAGCAGAGGCTGGGCCACGGAATGCCTTGGTAGCCACACTAGGGAGTTTTCATAGGCGACAACAGGAAATGACTAAAGTGTTTTTAGCACTCTGTGGCCTTGTGGAGAAGTACAGGACATTTTAGAGAGCAGCTGGAGAACGATCTTAACAACAGTCCAGGTTAGAGACAAGGGACTGAACTTAAGGCACTGGGAGTGGAGAGAAGGGGCTGGATTCTAGAAATGAGAGGTGAGAGAGGGAAATCTAGAATGGCCCCAGGTTTCTGGCTTAAGCCAGGAGTCATATTTGATGTGCCTCTGTAGTGGGGTCTGAGGATCTGTAACTATGCCTGGGACATAGTTCCATACTGTCTACAAAGTAGACATATGTACTGAGTGACAGCTTAGAGATATTCAGTGGGTCCAGAGCTCAGAAGACAGCCTCACAGAGATAACTGAAGCCACAGAAATGGAGAGAGACGAGACAGCTAAGAGTGCACTCCTGGGACCCCACACTTCAGAGGACAGTGGAGGTGGCGCAGGCTGAGAGGCACGCTAGCCAGGCAGAGCACAGCCTTGGGGTGCTCACATGCCAGCAGAGAATCCAAGATGAGAAAGCAAGATACCCCAGTGGGCAAACAGGAGAGTAGGGAAAGTTGCCAAAGCTATGGACAGTTAGGCTTATGCTTCTGGAGCTGGGTGCTGACCTCCCAAGGCCTCTCACAGGTAGGTAACTTGACCTTCCAAACGTTCCTTCTCTAAACATCACAAAGCAGAGAGAGCAGACGTGTCTTTGTTGCCTGTTTTCCAGATCTGCCCACGGACAACATGAATTTCATTTTGGACTCCATATGGAATGTCCATGTGATCTCAGCCTCCCATCCCATCTCTGAAAAACACTTCTTGTCTCATCTGTAAGTCACAGGGTTCTTAGCATAACTACATATTCAGAAATGTCAAAGCACAGCAGTGTGACCTTGGGCAGTTCCCACACACGACCGCCCTGGTTCCTTACTGGCAAAATGAGGGCTGGGTTAACAAAAATTCTCTCTCCTTAAAGTGACATTAGTTTAGACTATTCTAAACTAGAACAGAGTCCCCTGCCGGGCAAGAATGACCGGTACTTTGCAGCAGAGAAGAGTCCAGCTTGGTGGGAAAAAGATGAAGAACCACCATAACTGGATAATTCCTATGTGCTGGGCACATGCTGCCATTCAGCTCTCAACACCGTGTGAGGTGAGCACGACTCCCTTCCTTGTCATGAAGCCAGGCGCTCTGTGCCCGCCACCACGCAAGCCCGGCCCTCTCCAGCACAAGGTGCAAAATTTGGTGTAACTCTTTGAGATCAACCAAAAGACTCAAAAACTCTCCTATAAATCCTTTCAAGAAAAACTTTTTAAATTCTCAAATCGCATTTCCTAGAAATAATTCTCAATCACGAGGACGAGTTCCACTACAGTGAAGCTATGACGACGACCACTGTCTGCTATGTCAGTATGATGCTCCACTTCAAAGAATGTACATTTTCCAACATAAGATGCTATTAGGCTCAGATTCAAGTCCGAATTTATCCAAGATACTTCCTTCTAATTCTTAATTAGCTACAATTTTAACCTAGAAAGCAAAACTTAAAAATGTCTTTCTGTATATGCCACTCACTGCCACGAAACGTTACCTACCTTTTTGGGAAAATTTAGAAAATATTGCAGCTGTTATTTCAGACCCATGCCAGAGAGAAGATGCTCTTAACTTTTACCTGTTAACCAAGCAAGGAAAGGGGTAGGTAAGTAAGAGTAAATATTTAGCAGAGGTGCTAGAAGGCCAACATTAAAAAACAAGCACCTCTGAGTTCCAATCAGACCTTTCCATGTACTCAAACTATGTTAAATATAACAACGAACAGCAAGATTCCAGGGCAGCATTAGTGCTCTTCAAAAGAGACATATACCCGCTCTTTACAAACTAGAGATATAAACCTTTATTTCACAACTTTGTCATAATTCATTTTCTAATGAGACATGTACTGGGGACATAGTTTAAAATACTGGGAAAGCTAGATGCTCAGTGTCTTCCAGGCAGGAGCAAAGATGTGGTCACTCCAGGGCCGATGCATTCCTAGGGCTTCAGGCAGCATGGACCAGTCGTACCAGTATTGTCCAACCCCAGTTTTACTTAGAGCCACCTCCTTTTTTGGGGCCGTTAGTCCTCATTTCATGCCAAATTTTCACTAGAGGCTCCCTGTTCTTCCAAATGAGTTCATGACCATAAGTAATATACCATCTGGGGAAAAGAAAAACAAACCAGGTCCAACATTCAAACAGTATGACATACAAATGTCAAGTACTATGATGATATCAAGCTGACATTTTAAAAACTGAATGTCACTGTCATTTACTATCCAGCATATTAAAAAAGCTGATTAATTTATTTAATGTAGATCAATGACTTACCTTTAATATACAGAAGACATAAAAGATGGAAATAGGATGGACCATGTGTGACTGCTCCAAAAATGTAAGTACTTCACACACACTACTTTTAATTCACCACAACCCTGCAAATCAAGTATCACTTTTCCCATTTACAAACATGAAGAAATCAAGTCTGAAAGAAAGTCATTTGCCCAAGGCGCTAACAGCTTTTAAGTGGTCAATCAAGCACTCACTAGCAGGTCAGAGTGATTCTAAGCCTGGACTCTTTTTATTATGTCAAGTGTAAGAAATGTCAGAATCAGAATTTACTAATAATGATGGCTATACTAATTTAAATGTCTCTCCTTCCTCACCTTCAGCCTGGCTACACAAAAGGATCCAAATTCTGCCCACCTTTTAAAATACAGCTCCAATCCCCATCCTCTGTTAAACAATGCCTAAACAATGCCTAAAAGCAGCCTGAAGCAATAAGCCGAGGAAGCTGAAACACTGAGAGGTTTAGTAATTTAACTTGCTCAGGCTGCACAACTAGGAATGACCAAACTGAGACTAGAACCCAAATCTGACCCTGTAACCTGTGCTCTAACCGCGGTGCTACACTTCAGCCTCTCGGGAGCATCTGCTTAAGCTGAGGAACACACAGGGAGTGAGATCAGAAGCCCACGGCCTGGGGTCTGCACGACCAGGAGCTCTACCCGAGGGCAGCACAGGCTGAGAGAAGCTCAAAGGCACCTGCCTCCCCGGAGAGCTTCCCTGCAGGAGGGGCATTTGGAATGGCTATTTTAAAAAGCTTCTGTTATTGAAACTTTTATTTTTGCCCTGGTTTCCCCAAACAGATTTCATGTTCCCTGAGGCAGAAACTAGATTTTGTTGATCTTTCATCTTAGACACCTGACTGAAAAAATGCTCTATTCAATTTAATTGATATCAGAATGGCAGTTTAATGTTTTAACATTTTTTTAATGTTTGGAGCATGTATTTTTTTTTATTACAAAGGGCTTGAATTGTACCTGAATCCTAATTCTCACTAAATATAGTTAACATTTAATCATAAAAAGTCACCATTAAAATTTTGAAAAATAATCAGTAAATTTACAGAAAGAAAAAAAGCATTTTAAAAACATGCAAATTAACAGGCATGTTTACAAAATTCTTTTGGACTTAGAGTGACGTTCTCTGGTGAACTTAAAACAAGAGAAAAAGGATCATCCTATGATTCAAATGCAATTATAAAACTCTTACAAGAAATGAAACACTTATCGGGAACTCTCCATTAGTAAAGTGTCTTCTCAAATCTTTTTAACCTACTTATTTCAAGCAAAGAGTCAAACACTTTAATCTTACAGGTACTTGTTTTGATTATACTCGTAAGTTCAAATGTAATTGGTCATTTGGTTAAATTAAAATTAGGAAAATATTTCAAACTGACTAATTTTTGAGGTATCTTTTTTTCTGTTTGTTTTTGGTAGCAGCCTCACAGTCTAGTGCTCAGTCTGAAACTCCAGCTCTGCAATGACTCACTGTGTGACCTTGGATAACTCCTTTCTTTAAGCAGTTTCCTTTCTGTAAGTTGGACTACCTCACAGGATGTTAAGAGTATTAAATTACTCCTTAGCGTAGGCACACAGCAAATACTCAATATACATTAGCTATCATTACTGCAGCAGTACAAGGTGAAGACCATAAAATGTGGTCAGGGACATAAAGTCAAAGCAATGTGCAGGAGGTTACTAACAGATCTTTACCTTTTCTAACATCTTTAATCTAGACTGAGGAATCTTCACCATTAAAGATGTTAGAAAAGATGAATTCTAGATATGACCAAGATCTAGTAAATGAAAGGAGTTGAAATTAGAAACAGCAAAGAGAAAGGATTCCTCTGCCTTTCAGATTCTGGACTTTAAAATACATTTGATCCAGTTTTCAGAACAGAAAAAGGTAATCTAATTATAGTTGAGAGGAATAAAAAACTGCTGGGGAAAAGATCCTTTAAGTATACATGGAAGGAGCCAGGTAAATTTAGAGTTCATAAAACAAAACCCCTTTTCATCAGTCTTCATGTTTCTCATACTGTAATACCAGGTCAGTTTTTACTATTTATAATGGGCTGCTGTTAAAGCTCGAACTCACACATGCTATTCTTTAATCATCACTGAAAATTATAAATGGCATAATGGCATTTAGTTCCACCGCCTACTGGGCAAAACTGCTCCACTTAGAATAGATTTTTCTACTTTTTTTTTAAATTAAAAAACTAAGGTTTCCCATTGTTGTGAAATAAAGTAAAAACCAAATAAGGGTAAAAGGCAACATTATGCAAGAAAAGAGAGGCCATCAGGGATGCAGCATATCAGACAGACAACAGCTCTGCTGAAGGGCCTCTCACGGTCAGATGGACTCCAGAAGCCCTGAGGAAGTTCTATGACAGCGTCGCTACAGCACTACTATGTTTTAGGCAAGGGTCCATTGCCTGAAGCACAAGTGGGAGATCTTGTCACCACAATGTAACTGTAATCACTGTGGTGTGACAGAGGCTGGGAGGGCTCTGGATCTGGGTTTATTAAATCTCTGCTCTGCTACTTAAGAGCTGTTTGACCTGGGGAAGATCACTTCTGAGCCTCAGTTTCCATCAGTGAAACAGGGGTAATAATTATGTAACGCAAGGTAACTAACTCAGTGCCTGCAACATAACAGATGTTCAATAAGTAGTCAACACGAGTTTATGCCATCTGGCCTCTACTCCAGTCATGCAGCAGGCACCTGCACACTCATCGCAAGCAGAGGACCAGATCCACCCACTCAGGGTGTCTGCCCAGCACTGGTGAGGTCAGTGGTAGCCAGGTAGGGGAGCAGGGTAGGGACTGGGCAGGGGAGATGTGGCTTGAGAGTGGGGAAAGGAATACAGCACAGACTAGGGGGCTGGGCAACAGTCTCCATGAAGGACTAGGAATTTTGACAGTCATGAGTTCAGGTGACTTGAGGTTAAGGGGAGGGTAAAGGCACAGATGGTCTCCCTCTACAAATGACCGAGGCAGGGGCAGGGCCAACAGTCTCACGTTCCCATCTCATATGGTGAAGCTGCTCAAGATCAAAGCAAACCATGTTGCGATTTCCTTGCCCTCCCAACCCCACCTGCCCTGCTTCCATCACAGAAGTAACTGCCTTATTCTGCCTTCCTTAGGGGTGGGGGGAGGGAGATGAGCTGAGAAAGCAGTGTAACAGTCAGTCATGCTCAAACTTACATTCCAAAGAGAGCTCCCCCAAGATGTGCTGCATGATCAAAAAATTTCCATCCCAGGATCATTCCTGCTGTATCCACGGCAATAATGGCTTTTAGGGCCTGAAAGCCAGCAAAAGAGAACAGAACTGATACAACTTTGATTCCTCCAGCATTGACATTTCTAATTTAAGGGCAAGAATTCAGTCAATGTAAAAATATCACCACTGTCCCCAGCACTTCACTTCATAAAAATACTCACATTCCCTGCCGTGAACGTGAACATTGGAAGGAAGATAATGGCGAGCCTCCCTTCTGGGATCTTAGTGCAGACAGCTGCAAGGACAGTCATGATTGCGCCCGACTGCAAATTAACACATTGGGGAAAAAATGAAACTCTCATGTGCAACTGCTTAGTGACTATAACGTCTAAAGTAGAAATACTTTTTCCAGAAAGCTTACAAGCCACACATTTCTAGGTTAGCACAAAGTTAAAAAGTTTTCCGTTACTAACGTACAAAATATCAGGCAAAGGGACTCTAAGTCCGTGATATGGTAACCACCTGGCAAGGACTGAACTACAGGCAATAAGATGTAACAACCAGCATGTCAGCAGTTAATGAACTTCAGGGACAGTGTTATGTGTGGCACATGCATCATTTCATTTAATGACTAAAAAAGGACTTCTCAAACTTCAACAAAACTCCTCGAGGGACTTCCCTGGTGGCGCAGTTGTTAAGAATCTGCCTGCCAATGCAGGGGACATGGGTTCTAGCCCTGGTCCAGAAGATCCCACGTGCGCGGAGCAACTAAGCCCGTGCGCTGTAACTACTGAGCCTGCGCTCTAGAGCCCGTAAGCCACAACTACTGAGCCCACGTGCCACAACTACTGAAGCCCGCACGCCTAGAGCCTGTGCTCCACAAGAGAAGCCACCGCAATGAGAAGCCCGCGCACCGCAATGAAGAGCAGCCCCCAGTCGCTGCAACTAGAGAAAGCCCACGTGCAGCAATGAACACCCAACACAACCAAATAAAGAAAGAAAATTAAAAAAAACAAAAACAAAACTCTTCGAACCAGAGAGTGAGCATGAATTTGCCCAAAGAAACCCACACGTGTGGAATTTCTCCCAAATTTAATGCTTTACCATAAATCATGTGAAATTTGTATCCTGCTTCATTATAACACTAAACATTTTCCTTAAAACGTTTGACAAATGTTCTGCTCCAGGAAAGCATGCCAAATTTATCCCATGGCTCTGCATGACACGCCCCCCCCATCACAGCATCCTCCCAGGGATACACATGCATCCACCTGCTTGAGAAGCACTTTCCCCAACAGCCTTGTATTTGAGAATAAAAATTGAAACTTAAAAACCTTATGACCAGTAAGTCAACCATTTCTTGTTATAATTGAAATTATAATTGCTGTATAGTTTTATCGTCTATTGTGTTTTTCCACATTGCTATATAACCTTCATAATTTAAATTGATAATGGCTATGAAATATCTCCTGGATAAATTATGATAATTTAACTAAACTTTCTTAATGTTACACATGTTCCTAATTCCTCTAAATGCTACAATACTTGAGAAATTGGATCATAATCCCTTGTTTACATTAAATCTCATGATAATCATTCATTCAAATACTTGAGTCCTACCAGGCACTATGCTAGATGATGGGGATACAAAGGGGAACAAAATTGACAGTCCCTGCCTTAATGGAGCTTACAGACTGGCATGAAAGACATAAATGAGTAAAAACAACAAAATATAATCAGTTATGATGGGGAAGCACAGCAACTGCCAAACTGTTTTCCAAAGTGGTTTTTGTGTTTTACTTTCCTACCGGCAGTGTATGAGATTTCCAGTTCCTCCACATCCTCACCAACACTTGGTATGGTCAGTCTTTTAAATCTGTAATATAGGTTTATAGTGATATCTCAGTGTGGTTTTTATTTTCATTTTCCTAACAACTAATGATGTTCATCTTTTCATGTGCTTAGTTGCTATCCATACATCTTCTTTGAAGTGTCTGTTCAAACCTTTTGCCCATTCTTCTTGAATTTTTCTTTATATAGTCTAGACACAAGTCCTATATCAGACTTCTGACATGCAAATATTTTCTTTTAGCATGTATCTTGCCTTTTAACAGTGTCTTTGGAAGAGTATAAGTTTTTAACTTACATGAAGTCTGATTTATTAATTTGTGCTTTTTGGTCTCTCAACTATGAAATCTTTGCCTAAAATAAGGTCACAAAGAGTTTTTTCCTGTTTTCTTCTGTAAGTTTTTATTTTAGGTTTTACATTTAGGTCTGTTTCACTTTGAAAAAAACTCCAAAATACTCCTGAACCAGATTCACCAATTTTTAACATTCTGCCACATTTCACTTATCATTTTTTCTTTATATCCATACTTTTTTTCCTGAACCATTTGAGCATAGGCTGCATATATCATACCCTTTTACCCCTAAATACTTCAGTGTGTATTTCCTAAGAACTTGAATATCTTTATATATCCTACAATACAGTTCTCAATTTCAAGAAATTTTATACTGATATATTATACTTTCATTTAATCTATAAACATATTCCAGTTTTATCAATTGTTCCACTAATGCACTTGCAGCTGTTTTTCCCCACGTATTGCATTTAGTTGCCATGTCTCCTTGGTCTCCTAAAAGCTGGACCATTTCCACAGCCTTTTTTTAAAAAAGGGGTCCATTTTCATTAAAAGCCTCTGACTAAAAAAGGTGAAAATAAAGAATCTCTGCATGGGGTAGGCTAAACATCTGTCTAAAAAGCAAGTTGTGGGAATTCCCTGGTGGTCCAGTGGTTAGGACTCTGCACTTCCACTGCCAGGGACCCAGGTTCAATCCCTGGCTGAGGAACTAAGATCCCGCAAGCCACATGGTGCGACCAAAAAATAAATAAAATAAAATGTCATTTAAAAAAATAAAAAAGCAAGTTGCAATTTATTCAGACACATAAATATGTTTAATGTATAATAAGTACAATAAGTTATAGTCACAAAGAAACTGGCTTTACAGAGAAATGCACAGCTAATAATGCACAGCTAATTTCTTTAATATTTAAGTTTCTGTAATGAGGACTTTAGATGGAGAATATAATCATCTACGGAGAAGCAATTTAGAGGGTACAGGATTTCAGTGCTCTTCTTTCAATTCAGCTAACCAAATTATATTTGTTTCATTTGGGGGAAAAGTATAATTTTATTGGTTTTTTTCTCTCAGAAAATAAGGTCTCAACTTGATTTCTTCTGGGTTTTGTTGAGTTGACTTTTTTAGGTTTTATTTAAAAATCTAGGATACTCAAGTTGCACATCTTAAAGCCTGAAAGGTGAAGGGTTACTCTTTAACTTTCAAATTCTCAGTGACACTGACATCCACTCTGCTTAAATACAGTATATGCTGGTAGATTATAGTGGCAGATGTTGAAGTTCTAGCCAAAACAAATCTTTCAGAACAAATATAAATTTGGCCAGTATAACATGTTGCACCCTAGAGGAACCATGACCCAGCAAGTTTTGTGGGGAATCCCATCTTCTGAGGTAGTGCTGATATCCTTCCTTGAAAGCTGCTGTGATACATTAAGGACGTGGAGTGGGGAACCAGCGAAAGAGTGAACAAATTACGGAGGCTGTGTGTGCATGTGTGTGTGTCTTCACAAGGCAGCAACGGCCCTGTGAAGGGAAGTCAGGATTTCTGAAGAACCTCGTGTGTTACTATTGCAGACTTACATAGGAGCCAGTTTGGTAAATATACAATAGCAGACAGTTGATCTTAAGTAGAGAATACAGAATTCTGACTCCTGACCTCCACTGCAAAATTAACATGTATCTCCAACACCCAGCCTATCCCTTTTAATATGTAGTTGACTTTGTTTCCTTGTTCTTTCATTTTTTTAGCCTAAGCCCTGGGTTGTCTTTGTCCACTTGCCTGAACTCATGTCTTAGGTTCTCCTTAGGAATATTAATGCTGTCCTTCCACCGTGTAGCTTCCCCAACCCATTCCTAGGAATGCAGCGTGAGCTGGTTTCCCTGTTTAGGCTGACTGGCAACTATATATTAAAGGGTTGCGGACTTCAGGGATGCCTGGGACTCATAACTCTTAAAAGTTTTAGTAATTCCTAAAATGTAAGATAATCCTTTATTCTGAAGCAACTCTTCACACAGAAGACCCTAAACAGTTGGCAATTAAGAGAGGTAGATGCTATTTTCCAGAAATAGCCTTTTTAATATAAAAAAGTAGGGACCTTTCCTTTTAATTATAGGGACAATCAGAGTCAATTATAGGTGCATCTTTTAGAAATTTTTCTCTTAGGTGTTTTTTTAACATCCTATTTTGAAATAATTTAAATCTTACAGAAAAGTTTGCAGGAATAGTACAAAGGACTCCCAAATCTTTAAACATAAAAAATAAAAGCAAGTTGGGTTTACTGAAGTATAAGTGACACACAAAAAACTGCACGTTTAAAGTTTATAATAAAGTTTTGACACATAAATACCTATGAAACCATGGCCACACTCAAGATTATGAGTGTGGCCCAAAAGTTCATCATCCCCAAAAGTTCCCCGGTGCTCCTCTGCAGTGCGTCCCTCCTGCTCCTCTCCCATTCCTAGGCTACAACTTCTCTACTTTCTGTTAAGATAGATTCACTTTGAGTTTTATATTAATGGAATAATACAGCATATACTCCTTTTTGTTGTTGTCTGGCTTCCTTTACTCTGTATAGTTATTTTGTAATTCACCCATGTGGTTGTATCAATAATTTATTCCCTTACATGGGTGAATAATATTCCATTGTATGGTTATACCATAATATGTATATTCATTCACCTGATGGACATTTGAGTTTTTTCTAGTTTTGGCTGTTACAAAAAAAGCTGTGAACATTTGTGTACAATGCTTTGTGTTCTTTCATTTCTCTTGGGTAAACACCTAGGAGTGAAATGGCCAGATCATATGGTAAATAGATTATTATCTCCATCTAAAGCACTCATTACAGAAATTTAAATATTAAAGAAAATTCTCATTAGTTGTGCATTTCTATGTAAAGTCAGTTTTTTTGTTATTAAATTTTATTTTAATTTCATTTTTCCTCTGACTTTATTTTTATTTATTTTTTAACATCTTTATTAGAGTATAATTGCTTTACAATGGTGTGTTAGTTTCTGCTGTATAACAAAGTGAATCCACTATACATATACATACATCCCCATATCTCCTCCCTCTTGCGTCTCCCTCCCACCCTCCCTATCCCACCCCTCTAGGTGGACACAAAGCACTGAGCTGATCTCCCTGTGCTACGCAGCTCCTTCCCACTAGCTACCTATTTTACATT